TACAGACTGTTCCACACTGCATGCTCTTACAAAAAGTCCTACCTCCAGCTTGTCTGTCATGGTCAGATCACCCTTCCCACAGGAAATGAACTTGTCCTTTCAACAATGACCTTTTTAAAATGTCAGGGAATCAATCTCCTTTCTTCTTGTCCACTGTTAAATAAATAAGGGCCTACAACAATCATTTTCATATGGGTAATACTGAATCATCACATTCCATATACCAGAAACAGTTGCAAAACGGAAATCTGTAATGAAATGTGGAGAAATGGGCTCACTGACTGTGAAACTCTCAAGAAATTCTGGTTCTGTCCCCTCTTTATTGCAAATAAACAGTTTTCTCCTGTCTTTGTATCTTCATCCTGGTAGATGGATTTCTCAGCAACTCATAATGATGTTCCTGTGTTTTAAAACCTTTGGAGCAGGTACTGTCATTTATTGTATCTTTATTTGTATACCACCTCAAACATTTGGTCACTCTCAAAATTAGCACACCTTCCTCTGCCAGTTTTGTTTCTACACTGTAAATTTAGTAGTAAATTAGAAGGAAGATAGTATTGCAGTATGACATCTTTTATCAGGTTGGTAGTAAAAGAACTGGAAATTAAAGTTCAAGCTGCAAAACATGAACATTCAGTACAAATTTAAAAGTCTGATCGAGATCTTAAGTCCACTGGTACTTGATTGCAAAGTATATTTATTGAATTCAGTCACAACCCCAACAGCGTATTCTTCCATGTGCATCACTGGAGAATCAATAATGTATATATAACATGGCAGATATTTTCTGGGAAGATTTCCTGCAGGCTTCCTAATTTCTGACCTTTGCTCCTCTCTGTAAATAACTTATGCAAAATGGCTGGGCTGGCCACATGAATTGTACGAAACCTCTTCCAGTCAGCTGAAGTTGCAGGAAGAGCAAAGCAGGGACTGACATTGTGTGTCCTGACGTTGGAAGCTTTGTAATTGAACTAAACAGCTACAGAAGTTTTGTATAAGAACAAAGAAAAAACTTCTTCGTTGTCTTCAAGATATTCCATCCGTTTACTTTTTCCTTTTCTTTTTGTGCACTCCTTTGGAGGTGCTGGCCATAGCAATCCACACACACTTCAGTGAGCCTCTTAACACTGCTCTGTAAATCCAGTGGTGGGTGACATGGGGTAATCGTGCTGTGCTCTGCATTCAGGAAGAGGTCCAGTTCACCCCAGGAAAATGGGAGGCCTTCTACTGGAGAGCACTATTGGCCAGAGCACATTCCTCCAATGTTTTATCATTTAAGGAAAGGGAGCAGTAGAGGAATTACTTTATGAGTTGTCTAAAATATGACAGGGATAGTATGTTTCCCTAAGATTGCCCTTTTTGGGGCTTTTTTTTTTTTGACCAGAAAATCTAATCCGGGAACAATTTCACAACTTTGGAGAATTTTCTAGGATTTCTGATCCTCCAGGAGCACAGGCAGAGCAGTACCACGTGTGGCATGTCTCACACAGGGGTATTCAGGACTCTAATAATTGAATCATGCTTTATTTGACTGAACCTTTCAAATTGACTGTCTTTGCTTAAATCTCCTCAGTGACCTTTGCCAAAGAGAGAAATTTCTTAGGTCACTTGCTAATGAAAAGGGGACATACTTGTTCAACAATAGATCTAACATGAAAGCAGAGTAAAAGCTGACAAGTCTGAGTTAACAAAGGTTAACGAAGTTAATTCAGTTAACAAGCCAAGGTACTAATTGTCTGAAGAATTACACAAACATTGTCATGATATTAAGTACTTCCCGGACTCTGACTCTAACCTCATGCTAAACTGGTCCCGTAAGGATCAATTTGCTTGTATTTATTGCAAATAATATTAAATAACCCCTATTCCTGAACAAACAAATAATCAGATAATTACCAGGAAAACATGGGGAAGGGCCACTGATGCCCAGCCCTCTTCCTTGATTTCCATTCCTTGTTTACTTTTTCCTCCACACCAGATAGGAAAGTGGGACTGGAAGTGGGAGAGTGGTATCTGGTGTAGGAGTGAGAGAGGTAACCATGTCCCATGGAATATCACTGTTGAAGTGTACAGCTCTGCATGTTCCCTGCAGAAAGCCAGGCACGGATTTGACAATTCTCAGCATAACCAGAATTTTATCAGAAATTGCAGTGAGAAGTTTTACATGCCTTCTGCCTCCAGACAACTGCCCACAAAAGAGGTGTAGATGGGTACTAAAGAGATGGTTTGTGTGAGTGGTTTTTGGAATTTATTTGATTTCTTTTGTCTTTCATGTACTCCAAAAATGAAGTGGCATTTCCAGTGTACAGAATCCATGTATTCCTTACTTTGCAGAAGCAACTGAAACATTTGTTTTCAGAACCTCTCAAAATTAATATGCAACTGCAAACAACTCAAATCTGTATAACTGGCTTCGAATCATTTGTCTGTGTTCTTTACATATGTATGAGATATGTTTCCATCCTTTTTTAACCTTTTTAAAGATTCCTTTCTAGATTCGGGTGTATGAAGAAGAACAAACTACCTTAAGCATTTAATGAACTTTTAAGGTTTTATAGTAAAATGTGAATATTTTATATTTGTATTTGTATAAGAATTGATACTGCTCTACAAAAATACCCAAAAAACAATAAAGAACACAGACTCCATTTCTTTAAATAATGAGATGTCTATTATTTCCTTTAAAAGGCAGTTTTATAGGGTATACTCATATGTATTCTCCTAATATATTCTCTATATGCTCTTCCTATGTACTTCAATTTTGAGCCACAGTAGGTAAGAAAAGTTCAGAAAATGTGACATCAGAAAGAAATTCTTTTTGCCAATCTTGGAACTCACACTGATAAATACTGGTTAAGATTTAATTCATTATTCTAGTGCTTCTAATCAGCATTTTTACTTATGGGTCAGGCAACTCAGAAAATATGTCTGTTATGAATCTCTTTAGACAAGGATCTGCACCTCCATAGAATGACTTCTAGAGATTCACAGGTTTTTTAAAAAAAACTGAAAACTGCTGCTGTGGAGATAGATGCATCTGTAATAACTGGCTGTGGCTGGCATAAGGAAATGAGCAGCTACTTGTTCAGATGCATATGCCTCCTGCCAACATGAGTTATATTATGTTTTAGATGTATTCATATAATCTTTGTTCCTTCTCAGTTTATTAACCTGAAAGCACATGGGCCTCCTAGCACCTAATAATCCACATGAGCAGGCTTGGTTTAGAAGTAGGGATGCTGTATAAAGCTGGGCTTGGTTGGTTGTAAGCAGAGGGAATTCTCTTTCACACTGACAGCTCAAACACTTAAATTTATGGTGTCCTTTGGCAATGCTCCTAAACCATCAATCTTGTCAAATTAATCATAACAGTATAGCAAAAGACCCATACTGTACAAGATCTATCCTGATATCTTGTCCCAGGGAACTCCACGTAATTCAGCCTTCATACTGGCGCATTCCTAGTCTTCTTCCAAGGAAAAAACTTGCACTGAGTTCTGTATTTTGTTTGGCTGTTTTTTCATCTTCTCAATATGGGCTTATCTGATATCATGTAATAAGATTTAGAATATAAAATTTTACTCCAAGTGCTGGAGTTAATTTTCTATGAAAACAGTGTGGAAAATTTATTTGTTTTTGAAACTACACAAAAGTTTTGTTTCAGTCGTAGTGTTTAGTTTATGGTATGTGGAATGAAGACAGCTGTAGCATAGATAAATGTTAATTATGGGTAATTGTTGACTATGAAGTTTTGAAAGTGTATCACAAATGGGCCTGTCCTTCATTATGAGAATAAAATAATTTTTTCCTAATATCAGTAAGACATTAGTCAGTATCTTTGCTACAACTTCCTAATACAAGGAAATTAGGATATCTTCAGGTTCATTTCTTCAAGTCCCCACACCTCTCTTCCCACCTCAATGAAATTAAATGAAGTTGAACTCTTAGCCTTCTTGGACAGGGACTGCGTTCATCTTCTAGCTCTTTCTTTGCAGGCATGGACAAGGCTGTAAAAAAGACTGTAAAATTTTATACTAAAACAAGGTATTATTTTTTTTATCAGCTCATTTTTATAAATACAATGTGTTCATTCATGTTTTGCTGTAATTCTTCCTTTGTGAGATACTGATGCTGTTGCAGCTGCTCTATGAAAAAAAATCTAATTGCATTTTAAAAAAACTTTCATTAGATCTGACTTAATTTGAATGTCTTGGTGAATTGTGCTTTGCCCTATTTAAAGCATATTTCTCCAGAAAAGAGACAATTTACTATTAATGTCATTAGTGCACTGAGTACTGCAGAGCATGCAAAATATATGTGCCTTCAGTAATCCAATTCCATTCTGGAATGACATTCAAATACTTCAGTTCACAGATCTCAGACATACTGCCACAACCTGTTACTTAAACTACTGTTGTGTCATTTCAAAATTGTTTTTCCCCTTTTGAGCCTTGTGATGCCTGCAGTCAACAGGGATTATTTTTAAGCAATGTTTGAAGTAGCCTGAAGAGCAGAACCAGCACTGGAAGGGGAAATGACAAGGGAGCCCTGTGTGCAACTCCTCAACCTGTGTGCATGGGTGCATGTCTCATCATTTTCAGGCTCCACTGCTGAATAGAAATATCATCCCTAAAGAGGCAGAAATTCCTGCCTTTAAATACCAGACTCCACATAATAAATGCATATTTTACTTGGTCGGAGTGAAATTGGTTATATTTTTGGAGAATAACCATGAATATTCAAGTAGTGAATGTTGATTTGAATGTTAATATCTATATGTCAATTTTGTGACCACATCACCATGTTGTCACTGCTGCTGGAATTTCTCTGTACTGTGTTTCCAGATAACATTCATCAAAGACCCTGGCCTACTGGAATGGAAAGAGATTCTGTGTTTATTTTCTCTTTGAGAGATTGACTCCATTGTACCAGTGATAACTAATCCAGCTTCATGCATCACAACTGTTCCTATATAAATGCTGTATTATTATTTTTATCAGGGCCAGCCAGGACTCCTTGGATCACAGGGTTTCACTGGACCACCAGGATTGATGGGGATCCCAGGAGTGCAAGGTCCCAAAGGTCACAAAGGTGAAAGAGGATATCCAGGAATAACTGGACCCAAAGGAGAAGCGGTAACTTTTGAACATAAATATTTTAGCTAATAAGCAAAAAACTGGACAGAACTTCATTTTAATTGTGCTTTTTCACTCCAGGGACAAAGAGGAGTCACTGGATTCCCCGGGGCAGATGGCATTCCTGTAAGTAGCAGGTTACTTCATCTTCAGGAAATCACCAACTGCAAATATTGCAGGCTAGCTTAAAGCCTTTGTACTTTAATTAAAATGTCTGGGTTAAATTCTGCATCAGCCATGTACACACTTTTCAGTTAAGGGCATTTACTGAAGTGAGTAGAACCCGCGAATATACAAGAGAGTATAATCTGTGCTTCCTCTCATTCCCTCAGATAATTAAAGGTCTATTTGCTTTGTCCTATAGAGAAATCCCCTTGTAAAAGGGACAAGAAAGTACAGAAATTTCCTGTGCCTCTGGAGGTTACCCACTAAGTATGTTCTTTTGTCGAAAAGACCTGTGACATAAATACTTCACATCTTTTAAGCTTGTGAATAAAGGACGCAAGTGGGTCATTCCTTAGTTATTTCAGATTTGCAAAGCATGTAGAAACACCAATGATTTTAAGAATACTAACCATTGTTAATTTGCTCTATAGCTTATATGACTAGTCTTAAAAAACTTACTGAGCCCTAAACAGTGTCAACCTTTGAACAAATTGACCAGGTCCATGAAACTGAAAGAGGAAAACTGGGTAAAGTTCACAGCACAGTATTTTCCCAGCTTACACTTCTTTACATCTTGTGTCATAAAATAACAAAGAAATCTGAGTCACTGGAATCCCTGGACAGAGTTCCCAGGCTTGGGTTTCCTTTATAGTGCTCCCTGACACCAGGGCCCCGCTTTGCAGCCCACGCATCCACATCCATTCTGCTTTCACCCTCTTTTGTTTCCAGAAGAGCTCCCTGTCAAGTTTCAGGGATTTCTCTTTCACAATCTTCCTCATCTTCCTCTTTCTCACTCTTAAAGGAAAAGAAGAAGAACCATCTTTCCCATTTATTTTAATACTTCTGAGCCAAGGGTCTTGTTCATCTCACTGCATCTTGCTGAGTTTTTTCTAAGCACTGTAACATCCTGTGGAGAGTAAATCACTCCCCTGTAAAGCCCCATGTTGCTATAGCTGGACTGCTTTTCTCACCTGAGCAAGTTTTGGTTTTCAGCCCTGTCTTCCTGACTTCTGCACATTGCATTCTAAGGGATAAATACCTTCAGACAGTACTTGAACCTGCATTTTCTTTGTGTCCTCTCCTCAAGCTCCCTTGCCCTTCTCACTCCCTTACATTCTCCAACCAGTTTTCTCAGGCCAAGACTTAACACTGACCATGGGAAGGCAGGTAGATAGGCACATGAACCAACTCTAAAGGCACAGTGCTAGGATGTGAGGCTGGGGGCCCAAAAAAAATGGTAGCAAGACAGAATCTCTTCTGGGGTTAGGAGCAACATGATGGAGCTAGGTGAAGACATAGACAGATTTCTGGGGTTTTTTCCAAACAATGAAGCAGATCAAAGAGAAAACTCTTGCTATAGATAAAGGAGAAGGGAGAAATATTTTATTTTAGTTTCTGTTTTTTCTGGCTGAGCCCCCTGGAAGAAGGCTGCTCAAGGGAAAATTTGCTTCTCATTGGCCTCAGTGCAAACCAGAAACAACAGCACTTAAGGTGAATGTAGGTACAGCAATGGAAATCCAGTTTGAAACAGCAGTAACTTTTCAGAAGCAGTTCTGCAGTGCTTCTGGCTCCCTACCTTTGAGCCCTGCTGTTTGCTTCCATACTCACAGCCTCATCATGACACTCAAACTACCTCCAACAGCATCTCTGATTTTTTTCCTGGCTTGGAAGCTGTTCGAAGTCAGTGAGGAACCTTTCTTCCCACTCTTCCAGTGGGAAGCACTGAAGCACTGAAATGCTTAACAATCCCAGTTTTTGGTGGCTCCCTGTGCAGCAGCCTCATCTGGCTTAGTTTTTGCTTAACAGAGCCTGCATTGAGCATAGCTTTCTTACCCTCTCTGAAAGGTCCTTCACTACTCATTTTTTCATGCTGTCTGGGGCATCTGGTTCAAGCTGCAGCTATATTAAAAAAAGGCAGTGTCTGTTTCTGTCTTTGAAAATCCTAGTTTCCCATGGATCCAAGCCTTGGGCTTAATGTGAGAATGTCTAAATACTGTGTGACTACAGGAAAAGGAAAACTAGAAACAGATGGATAGATAAACACTTTTTTTTTTTCCTCAACAGGGTCATCCAGGGCAGCCAGGACCAAGGGGGAAACCAGGTCATGATGGCTGTAATGGGACAGCAGGTGACCCTGGTGACTCAGGAACTCCCGGACACTCTGGTTTCCCTGGTACCATTGTAAGTAGCTGTCAGTAAGTGAGTACCTGAAGCCAAGAACATTGCTGAAGTGAGTTTCATTCACATATGTGTTGGAAGCAAATGGGACATCTCTTAATGGAGCTCCCTTTTGGCCTAGCAGAGCATTAGTGGTGACTTACCATGGACACACAGCACTGTGCTTAGTCATTAAATTGCATTCAGGGCCAAAAGGTCTGCTCAAAGCTATACCTGTCACATAGGTCTTGCAGAAAGATTACTTTAGGAAAGCTTGTACAGCTTTAATCAACAGCAGTAAAATAATATTGAACTCACAATTCCTGATGAAAGTAACCTTTTCTTCCCTGCCCCATGGCGAAGGTATTGACTTTCTGTGGTGAGATACTTAGGATCATGCTGAGGTGAGCAGTGAGGCTTCTGCATTTACCAGGGCAGGTGTCAGCCCTGAGAAGCTGCAGCCTCAGCTCTAGCTAAGGAGGTGCTACCCTATAATAGCACTCCCAGGTAATGGGGTGTTCCTCCCACAAAATCAGAAATTCTTTTATGTACTGTGAGGCTTTGCATTTCTTTTCTAAACCATAAATTTCAAAAGCTAGGCATAGTCTCTGCCTCTAAACAGTTATATGTTTATGTATACTTACGAAAGCGCCAACAAGTATTTTTCATTACTCTTTGCTGTTTATGTGTTAACATATATGATATGAAAGCTTACATTTTGTTTTCTTTTGGTTACCTCCAGGGAGTCCAAGGGCCAAAGGGCCAGAAGGGGGAGCCGTATATAATAGCACCAGAGATCATAAGTCGACACAGGGTATGTCTGTAACTCCTGTGAGTTACTCACGCTCAGTAGTTTTTCAAGCAGCTGATGGAGAGTGAATTTTTCTTATACTCTGATGGGCACATCCCAAGAGGCCCCATTTGATTCTGTGCAGGTTTTGGAAGGCAGCTTCTGCTTTCTCTGGTTGCAGCAGTCTATCTGATATCCAAGGGAAAAAAATCTCCAGTCAGTTATTTGCAAGGAATTCCAGCCTACAAGTGGATTTCAAGGGCACTATAGATGATGTAGTTCAAGTATTACCCTCTTTATTCAGTGACTATCTTGTATAATGCATGGCAAAATCCTTCCTTTGCCATACTTTTGTCCACTGGATGATTACCATTAACATCCTTTCTGAAAAATTTTCATGCAGGAATTTGAGTGACTTAGGGTAAAATATGCTTCAATGTTTTTAGGAAACATTGAAGTTATTTAGGAAACCCCAAGTATTCCTATGGGTGCTTTTATTGTGTCTAATCCTTAAAACTTGTTTTGTAATCACTTGTAGCTTTTTCTCTTATATAAAGTCTTGTATAATTTGAAGGTATCAGAAAGAGATAAGGGATTATATATGCTGATAGAGTACAAATTGAAACCTATTCAAAAGCTACAGCTGAGCTGTAGTCAGCACAGAAGTGATCTGCTGACATAGTTTATGTGTATTTTGTGCCAGCAGTGAGTGCCAAAGTAGGGTTTTCTGTTGACATATTTGTAAGTTGGCTGTATTTTAATGGAACCTGCTTTTCCTTTTAGAAACTCTTCAAATTTGCACTTGTTAGTAAATAGCAAAGATTAAGAAATGATTAAGTAATGTTTAAGAAATGCTCAAGTATGTTGGGTCCAAGGATGCATACTGGCACCTGTGTTCATTTCAGAAAGTACTTGGTTCCACAAATTATTCTGTTAACTAAACTCAAATTAACTAGATAGTTAGGATGCTACTCAAAATGATTGAAGGTGTTTGGACTGAATACCACATTATTTATGGGTGTTGGAAGGTCTTTGCACTAGAACATTTTTGGATCCGGTTTCCAAAAACATTTCAGCATGTTCTGCAGTTAAAATATGTGGTCACTGAAAACAGTATGTTCTAAATGCTTTTAGTGACTCAGAAGAGAATAAAAATGATTCAGTAATTCCCATGCAACTCATGAAAAATGAGCTTGTACATTTCAGTTAAGGTTATGGCCCTAATTAAGCCACTGGTTAGATAGGATTTCTCAAGGAAGGTTTCAGTGTGGTCTGTTGTATATTTCAGCCTTGTAGTTTGGATCTCTAACTTTACCAGCCAACTTTGTACCCTCCTACTGTATTGCATGCAACTACACTGTGTATAGAAAGTACAAAATCTGTGTGGCCCACATTCAGTTATCTCAACATCTGTATGGAATACATCAGTATGTAAGGGTTTGTGTAGCATTGTATGCTATAATTAGTGTTTTCAGTGAGAAAAAAATTAATGAGTGAGAAAAGGATTCTATTCAATTTTTTATATAGTATTTATTGTATTTCTTACTTCTTTGTTGTTTTTTGTTTTTTTCTAGGGGGATCCTGGGGATCCAGGGTTCAATGGTTTTCCAGTAAGTAGTGTTACAGTGAATGTGATAAAGTGTCAACAGTAACTGATATTAGAACAAAATTAGTTGATGGTTGGTGTTTTTTTTATTTAAAGGGACCTCCAGGTACACTGGGTATTCAAGGACCTGTTGGTCCAAGAGGAGAGCGAGGAAGACCAGTAAGTATATTTAAAATATGTTCTGTAGAAAATTACCCTAATAGAAGAATTATGTCAACAAATTCCATTAGTTATATTATAACCTAGGTTAGCAATAGCAAGCAGGTATCAATGGACATAAAACCTTGTAAAAAGCACAGAGAGACACTGATTCTGTAGGGATGAACACTGCAGAAAGATGTATAGTTCCTTTTGCCTGTGTTGTCAAAGGCTTTTGATTGACATTGTATTGCTTTAACCTCCTTGGAAGACCATTGTTTGTAAAGATTGTTTAATGCTGCCCAATCCACACCTCCCTACACTGAGTTATCAAAAATATCAGAACTTGGATGTGTTATCTTTTCTGCTCATAAAGGATATGTATATTAGCTCTCTACACTTTCCAGAAGACATTGAATAGTATTTAGAATGCTATTTTATTTTTAAACTATTTTTCAGTATTTTTTTTTTCCAAAATCAACATTTAGTTGATTTTGGAAAATAGTTCTTTGAGAAGACTGTGTTCTCTTCAGATACCATTTTCTACATTTCTTATTTCCCTGGTTAATAGTTTTATGGGTGAGAAACAGATGTTCAAATTCAATATATTTCATTTTCTTGAAGCTTCTTTTATTTTCTTGTAAGATATCATTATAGCATTTGTTTTGTCAAAATTCACTTTGGACAAAAACTTTGGATCTGCTTTATACCACTGATTTTAGGGAGGAAAAATTAATTCAGGTCTTATTACACACAGCCTCTATAGCTGTTTTCAGGGATATCCCCCTCAAAAAAAAAAAAAAAGAATTAGGACTAAATCGACAGCATGATAAGCCTTTCCAAAGCTACTTTCCTGAAGTAGCTTGTTTTATCACCTGGAGTAAACTGTACCTTACCTTTCTCCTCTGGTCCTCCTGATGGGAAATCTCTTCAGTCCTTTATTCACTCTTCCTTTAGAGCAAACCCACAAAGTTCATGAGTTTCACACAGGAGCTCATCATGCAATGACTTACATTTCCAGTGCTCTTTCTTGGATCTTAGGAGTTCTATGAACCATATATTTTCTGAGCCCCATGATTACATCCGTCTGGTTACCATATTGGCAACATCTCTTTTGAATAAAACACATCCAGCTATATTTGCTGCCTCTAAAGCTGTGACCCTCCTTGTGAAAGTGGCCTGGGAGCATTTGAGAGGTCTGAGTTTGCATTATTCCTCATCTCTATGTCCTGGGTACTGTACGAAGGCAGGTTTGGCTCCCCCAGGTCTCTGCAAGCTCTCCAGGCAGAGCGATACCCTGTGCAGTTTTATCTGCCCAGTAGGTTAGGCAATGGCTCACAAACTACTTGACTAACCAAAACTGATTTAAAAGCAGTTTTTTTTAAAACAAGTCTGGTGTTCATGCACACAAAGGTACACAGCAAGGCAGAGATGCCGAACAAGTTCAGGTCTCACCTGAATGTAACTATTTTTTCCTTGCAGGTTGGGCTTGATTTTGCATAGTACAGTTAACAACCCCTTCAGGGCTCAGTAGATGGATAATTCCATCTGCAACCTTCTCTCTGTCATTTGTTCACCATCTTCTCTGAACAGCTCATGGTTCTTATTCACCCCACCTTTCCTACTCTTGACAGAGTTTTTAATGTGTAGAGCCTTTTGGAGCCTGTTAACTAACACAGCTGACCAAAGCAAGGCGAGCCTCTCCAATTAACGGCTTTCCAACTGCTTGTAAGCCTCTAGCACATTTATTTCCTGTTTCAGTTTAGTTTCCACCATCTTCCTTTGATTTCATTCTGTACAATCCCAAATAAGTAATCTGGGATGCATGTGGTAGTTCAACCCCCTTTACAGACTGATGCCATACCAAGACACCAGCCTGGTGAAGCACTTAAAGATGTGCTTAACTTTACTGACCTTAAAATGTTACTAAGTCAGGATCCAAAAGCATAAGTTCTTAGTACTTGATATAAAACCAGGTTTTCGTTAGGTCTAAGCTGGTGAAATGTTATTCTGTTCGGAAAGATTACAATGTGACTTAGGAGGGTATTTTTCAGAACAGTAACTACAGCTAATATAGTGAGGATATAACACATGGAATGCCGAGGAATACACTGCCTACTAAATATGTACTTACGTTTCAGGCAGAAAATAACTAACCTCCTGCAGGCATTGATTAGAAAGCAACAAGTAACTTGCTCTCCCCTATTGTGTTTCCCCAGGGACGACCAGGGCCCCCAGGACCACCCGGACCACAAGTAAGTCTTTCTGTCAAAGTAGTTAATGTTGATTTTGTGTTGCTGAGATTATCCAAGACCCACTTGAAGGTGGTAAAATAAAGAACCACAGGCTGCACCAAAGACTGTGTGGCACAAGACCTTCTGTTTTGTCTGCATACCATGAGAAGTTAATCTTACACTGGGATCGCCTACCCTGAGAAGATTAAACCAGTTCTAGAGCCAGATTTAATTTGCTACTGTAGTCACAGTAGCTTCCCACGAACAGAGAATCCTTGCAGTCTTTACAATATTCAATTATATCTCTGTGGAAAAAATACTGGAGTTCTTGTTCCAGACCACTTAGGTTTTTTTCTTTAGCGTTCAATGCTATTAAAAATCTTGCAAAACAACTTTTTTCAATGTTCCTCCATGGATGACTCAAAGTCTGTTGTAAGAAGAGTTATCTTTCTGAAAGTTTAGGTCTGTAAAAATACTTCTAAATCTATAAAAATATTTTGAGGTAAACCTGGACGATTATTTGATTGCGGTTCTTCAGTGGTGTCCTACTGACTTGTAAGCCTGAAAAGATCTTTAACCATGTTTAAATTTGAATTTTAGGTTCCAAAACTGGGTTGTACAGTTGTTAAATTTTGTCCTGTTGTTTTTGCAGGGTAACAGGGGCCTTGGCTTCTATGGAGAAAAAGGTGAACAGGTAAAGGAAAACTAATGAATTAATATCACTACTAAAGGACAGGTTGATGTTACCTGCTATTTATAAAGGAACCTATTTTAGATTTGCAATTGCATTGTGTAATTATAAGAGAGAAAACGAAGTATAGCTTTGATAGTATTTATAGCTTTGATAGTAATTATCCATAAGGAATGTCATAGCTGAATCAACTTCTGTATGTCTAGATCTATCTGTGCTGTCATTTACACCGACACACAGAGGTAACACTTCTGAAATTTATAAGGCCAGTCCACTTTATAGAAAGTGATAATCTTTACTATTATTCTGGAAACATGCAGAGTAAGAGCAAGGATTGCTATATGTTAAACCAGCACCAGATGAATTTATCTTGCCATCAATTTATTTGTTAGGTTGTATAAGGTTTAGAACCATACTCCTAGACGGGACAAATCTGTATTGCTCCTTTTTTTGCAGTTTAATGACCCTGTGCTGATCAACAGCTTGATAAGATATTATACTCCTAGACGGGACAAATCTGTATTGCTCCTTTTTTTGCAGTTTAATGACCCTGTGCTGATCAACAGCTTGATAAGATATTATAACCATTAGTCAATGTGCCTTCATGCTTTTCCTGCAGGGCCCCCCAGGTCCTCCAGGTCCACCTGGGCTTCCTACAAGAGAACTGATGGGTGTCCCCTCTGACAAACACAAGGTAACTAGAGGGTATTTTGATGAAATAAACAAGAAACTAAGAGCACTGCAGTACTAAAGATAAAATATTGTACAAATGTGTTTTTACATATAGAACTTTGAAGACTTTAGTATATCAAAAGAGAAATCTGCTACTTTTCCACAACTTGGATCATAAAGTATTTATTGAAACTATGGTGGCTAAAGTAATTCAGAAAGTACTTCTCAAGTCTAGAGGTGCCTTAGGCAAACTTGTTCTTTTTGTTTATCCAACTACTGGCCATCACTCACATCTGATTTTACAAGGAGAAATACCTCCTGAGAAATCATTACTGTGTTTGTTTTTATAGCTTACCTATGTGGTGCAGATGTTTGTATACTCAGAATTAATGCTTGTTCATATGTATTGGAGAAACCCTCAACAGGAAGATGAGTTTATTCTCATTTGTTGCTTCTTACTGGGAGAAGAGATACTCATACCCCATATGTGTATATTCTGTATCAGACACCAACCTCCAAACCAGTAATTTTTCATCCCGAATTTGAAGTCAGAAAGTTTATGTGGCTCATGCAATTTCTTCAGTAAGATGAGTAAATTGGAATGATACTGAGAGATCTAAAAATGCTTTTAACACTCTGCAGTCTGCATTAAGCTACATACATGTTGGGATAAGTAGCACATGAGCTACTTACCTGGAGAGCTGTTATATTCAATGGAGATGTAATCAGTGTAGTGAATAGACTTTAGGCTATGATTTGTCTCATCCTAATGAAACTCTTGATCAAATAATTCATAGATAATCAGTAGGTAAAAATGGGAGAATGCATTTTTTCACCGTCAGTACTTAGGCACTCACCACCCCGACACCTCACGAATATGCCTGGAAACAGCCAGGTATTCACACTCCTAGACACCTTTCCAGAAAAATTATCAAATATTTTTTTAACAAGCAACTTCAAAAACTTGTTATGAAAACATGTATTTCATATGGCTAGTATATGAATAAAGAACAGCACAAAAGTAGTGGTTTTTCTCTCAATAAATATTTGGCATTTTGTGTTGTATAAAAGTTACTAAAATGTAAACAGGAATGCCCAACGTATCTGAATATTATTTTCTTTATTGTTAGGGTGAAAGAGGAGACCCTGGACCAAAAGGGGAAGCTGGAATTCCAGTAAGTCAAGTGGAGAAGAATGAAGATAAATAAAAATATTGGAGTTAATACTGGTGCACTCTTCATTGAAGTGATGCAATACAGATATGGAGCAATATCGATATGTTAAAAGCAGAGACACCAGTTTTAATGCTTTAGAAAAACTGAACCACTTGATGTGTAATAACTCCACAGCACAATCAGTTGTTCTCTTACTGGTGTACCAAAATAAGATTTCCCTCACACATCTTCAATTTAGTTTTAAATATTAATAAATCTTTTTACTTACTCTTCTGATCTACATTTTAAAGTTTCACTAGATTTCAATAATTAAGAATACATGGAATATTTTTTAATCGTTTTTAGTCTACTCTCCAATACCTACAGAATTTTGGTCCCTTGAGTCTTTAGATCTGTTGAGTAAGTGGGCAGTAATCTCCTATGTTGCAGTATTGTGTGGAGCTCTCAACCAGGCTTGACTGAACATGGTTTAGTTATAACTCACAGGGAACCTCTAGAGTGACTAAATAGCTTTGCCATTGAGTGGTTCCTTTTGACTTCCCGGAACGGTTTAAAATACAGTCTTTACCAATAAGGGATGCCTCAGTGAGCATTTTGCATAGCTTTATTTTCTCAGATGGTCTGGTCAGCAGCTCCATGAGGTTATGGGAGAACCTCATGTGAGCCCTGATACCCTCTGTGTGCAATTGCTAGCCACAATTCAGCTGCTGGTCGTATTTTACATATGTAGGGTTCTTTTTACTCATTAGGAAAACTGGAGATTATATGCTGATGTAGCAAAAGGTGATATGTGTTTCCCCCCTTTTTTTTTTTTATTTTGTTTTTTGGACAGTTGAGTGGATAGCAGTATGCCTATGTTTGCCCAATAGTTCTCTGAAGCTACAGTTTAGGCATAGGCTAAGTTGCTTAATTGGTTGTATTGCTGCATAATTACTTTGGCTCTTCTTCAGAATTGCAGCTACAGAAGAAATAAAGGAGATGATAGGCAGGAAACACTGTCCTTTCCCTAATGGCCTACTTCTGCTATTGTAACATGTTACATTTAATTTTAAGGACAACAGTTCTTTCACATGCAGCTATTATTAGATCCTCCGTGTGTTACAGTGATGCTTTCTTCCTGTTTAGGTTCCATAAAACAGCATTGCGATTTTTTGCACTTAATAAAGAAATATGTTGAACTGACTTGCAGTGTTTCCTAGGGTGTACTTCTCTATGCTCCTGAAAAAGGTGAAGAAGGAGTAATAGGCTTCCCAGGACAAAGGGTGAGTCACTTATTAAAATTCACCCAGCTGAATGTGCAAATCCAAGCTGACAGTTTGCGTTCTGAACAAAACATGGATTAACAAGTGATAGAAATTATAGCTCTTCACCTCACCAAGTTTGACCAGCTCAGAACTGCCTGGTACAGGAAAGTGAAAAGGCCATTTTGAAATGGTAATGGGAGGAGGGCCCCACAGGACTCACAGGAATGCCTGTGCATCTCTTACTTAAAACTGTGCTCACTAGCCACAGCTACTGTCCTTGTCCTCAGCACAGAGTGTATTTCACTGTTTCCATCTGAGCTGTCTTCAGCCATGGTTAGCAAGCATGAGTTTGACTCCACTTACTTGTGACCCCGTGAAACAAAATCTAATTTAAATCCTACCTTGTAGCATCTATAAATGCTTGTTTTGGGATAGTGTTTCTGAAGTGCTTAAACAGAGTGAGAACAGTATTTAGCATACATTTTACAAAAATTGGTCATCTTTGAAATCTTCATGGTCAGTTTACAATGTATTGATTAAGAGAGAAGAAATCAAATACCAGATTAGATTTCAGACCTGTTCTGTTTGCACTGTACAAAAATCCCATTGAAAACATACCTGAACTGTGACTGTTAGTGTTAGAGTTTCAAGGTGTCAGATGTATTTTATCTAAGAAGTAATAATGGTTCTTAGCCATGAGGATGTTAGGATGTCACTTTATATTGCTATTTTTTTTTTTTCCTTCATAGGGACTGCCTGGCATCAATGGTTTTCCAGGACTCAGTGGAGAAAGAGTAAGTATTTCATATACGACTGTTGTTTCCAACACATATGTAGACAGTCTGTCTGAAAAGTAAACTGTAGAGGACAAATTCTGCCTGAAATTACACTATCTGTAGCCTAACAAATATTGTCTGGATTCATCCATCATTGTAATTTTGGGTCAGTTATTTTTCTCATCAGTGAGAAGAAAAAAGCACACCCTATAATTAAAGTCTGGTTTTGCTTAACCCATGAGAATCTTTTAGGAGCACTAAGGAGACATGTCATTTTCTTTGTTCCCATTACTGTGACTATGATTTCTGTAACTTTCTTCCTATAAGCAGAAGTTTAATTTTTGAATAGCTTTCTGCAGATGTGGTTGAGATAGTTATCTTGGATATCACAAAAGAAGAAGAGATGGAAACTGATAAATATACCAGTTAAATCTCTGTCCCCATGGAAACGCACCCAAATATTTGAAATAGCATTCTGTGAGACAGAGAGGAACTCATACTTTCTGTTTGGTCTCAGAAAAAGGCTTCTTTAGTCAGCATTAGAAATTACTTCCATGAGGTAAATAGCTGTGGGATGCATGACTTTTCCATGTTTTGACATCTTTAGTTGTTTAAGGATTTGTCCTGCCATCAAGGCATAACAATAATAACATGAAACACATGGGACATGAAAGTACATGAAATCTGAAAAATAACATAACATGTGCAGTCCCATGGCAAAACCTGGAGGTGTGGAAGTGAATTTACTATTAGTAATACATACATGGAGAGGCTGATGCAAAACCCATTAAAGCCCACTGGTTGACCTTAACACAGGTTAGTGCTCCAGTCAGATGTGGTCAGTGGCTGCCCCTTATTGAGGATGAATCTTGGCAACCATTTCAGAAAAAAGTACATTTGTTTAGATGGAGTATCACTGTATAATGTGTATGTGAGAGAGGACACCCTACTCTAGGTGCTATTCACAGCAACCTCCTTGTTGCTGATTTTTGAGTGATTTGATTTTTAAGAAAGAAAGAAGGATGTTTCAGTCCTGCCAGCACACAGATGAAGTCGCAGTTAATTAACAAGCTGCAGGCTTCACTTTTAGACCACTAGCTCCACCTAGTGTAAAGAGATTTTACACCTGATATTCAAGAGACTGCTTTTGAAATGATGTGATGTACAGTTGCCGTTGGAAAGCTCTCTGAAATGTGTGGGACAGTTCGTGGCATCTTGCTGAGAGCTGTGATACTTGCAGCGCTTTGAAACCTTGAAAGTGATTTACAGAGCTCATTATTAACATTCAAGTTCTATGTAAGAGCTGCATGCACTGTGAAACTTGGGAGATGCTGAATTTTAAAAAAGCTGACTAATAATCTATTTATAAATGTGAATTATACAAAACTACTGACTTCAGCAAAACCGTGTTAATTGATATCAGTTGTTGATCTGGCCACTCTTTTCTATTAACGTCAGTCTCTTTCCAGAGTACTTATGAACATTTTCTGTTCATAAGAGAGCAAAAGTTGTCAAAGAGCTGAATAAAGCACACAGAAGAGATCATCTCATCTATATCAGCATCTCTGAAATCCGCACTCTTCCCTATTCACCCCCATCAGCTGAAATACATTCTCATGTGATAAGATATACCATATTTTACCATAAGTGTTTTAATCAATGTGATTTGGAATTCAAATCTTTTAAAAGAATGGAGTGGGCAGGACTTAAATATTATAACATTTACTGGGGTGGGGATGGAAAATTTTCTCTAGGATATGGCATGCCCATAGTGGGAGAGATCGGTGAAGGTATCTTCAAGCTTGGTCCTGGGTTCTCATTCAGTCAGGGAACCCTTCTTTAGCCAAACAACCCCCAGTCACACTGAAAAGTGCAAAAAGGACCTGTGCACTTCAATGCTATTTCACTGCTCACTGTTTACATTCCAGTGAAAATATGTCCACTTGTAATGATTCCAACTTGTTTAGTCTTCTTGCAGCAGGCTGGTGTGTTCTGGCTACCTGGCACATGTGTGTCCGGGTCAGCCAGCACTGAGTGTTCCCTTTCTCCTCCATCCTGCAGCATCCATGGAACAGTGTGAGTGTAGGTGCTCCTTCCACCTGCACTGCTGCCAGGGGCAACAGACCCTGCGGCACAGCAGGTACCTCTGGCCTTTGGCAAGAGTTAGGATTGGTCCAAGAGGTGGAACATCAAAACTCAAGGAGTCTTAATAGTGTTACCCAAATTACGATACCCAGGGAGACAATCTGCTGAGCTCTGCTGCCTAATTTTCACACTGACATCAGAGGAAGCCAGCTGCTACAATCAAAAGTTTTAGTATCTCTCTGATAAAAGAAAAGCCAACCATTTTTATGTGTATTACAGGGTTTTCCAGGATTTGATGGTCCACCTGGTGGCTTTGGTCCTAGGGGAAGCAAGGTACCAGTTTATTTTCATTTGCCTGAAGCAATAAACCAGATGTCATTTTGCTTTCTTTTCTATTCTCTAATGTAGCAGCAATTTTCTTTGTTGTCATAGTAGGATGGTTATTTGAAATCTCTAAGGTTTCTTAAATGTCACATTACTGCCTTTGAAAGCTTGTTTCTTTATGTTTCATGTGCATACCTTTCCATTTTAAAAGAAATTCTCTAGAATATGTGCTTAGGTGTGATACTTCAACTTCTGTTAATAGGGGGAGCCTGGCGAGATGGGTCCTCCAGGACCAGATTCCTATTTTCCTTCCCGCATCCCAAGGAAAGGTTTGTCTTCTTTGCTTAGATTGTTTATCTTAGCTGTGTTTTAGTACTTTCTGCATAGATCAAAAGAATGACATTCTGACAATTCAACTCATAAAACACCCTGTGTTTTGCTGAAGTGTTCCAGAAGTGATAATTGTCTTCTGAGAGAGTGCCTTAATCACCTTTTTGCAAGCAGGTGACTTCTTTGTCTATTCTGCTGAAACTGGATTGCTATACAAAAGGCATCCATGCATTTCTGTATCCACAGAGAAGAAACAAGCAAAAAAGCATGTGACTTTGTTGTCCAGTGAAAGGAAGAATGGGAGAGTCTGTCTTCTGCATCCTGTTTCAGAGACTCTGGAAAAAGTGCAGTAATGACAGCACAGCAGAGACCATTCTTATCATCTAGTATTTAGAAAGAAAGAAAAAACCCACACATTAAAAAAACCTTGAGGAATAGAAAAGGATTTTTTTACTTTTTTAAATTGACAAATTTCCTTTGTCATCTTTCACGAAACTTGTTGCACCCAACATCAGCTGTTCTGCAGAGCTGGGGTTGCCAGACTAGAAACACGTAGAAGGTGATAGCAGTTTGCCAAGGCTAAAACTATGCAAAGGAAGGTGCCAAAAACAGCAAGAGTGATCACATGCCATTGACCCGGCCTTTGTCCTCATGCCATTGAGTTTACTAGTCTTGCTGAAAGCCGGAGAGACTAGCAATGAATGTTTCCCTACCTCCCAGAGAAAGGGGGCAAGAGGCCCAAAACAGTGGTCAAATCACCCTGAATACCCTGCAGGCTTTTAGGAGCAGGAGAGACTGTGTAGAGAGAGGAAGAAGCAGGGAGGGGGCTGGACACACCATATGTCCTCAAGTATCACTGACCTTTAACAAGAGCATGATACTTTCTGCAAGCAATAGCTGGGCCCAGGCAGATGCTTTTGGTATTAGGAAGCAAAGGAAAGCTCACATATTGCACATCTGTTACAATGGCAACTTCTTGTAGGAAAAGGAGGGGCTCTTCTCAGAGAGGTGGTCTTCTGTGCTTCCCTGGACCAATGTAGCTCTAGCTGCATATTAGTAAATGCTGAGAGATTCTGTCCTTCTTCTTGGTCTTGGTAGCTCCACACCACTCCCGTCATTCCATTTCTAAAGCTACTTTTTAGAAACTCTTGTAAATTCTAATACTCTGAAGCCCTTAAAGTTCCTAATGTTTGTTTTTTAATGAACAGCAGCATCACACTAACATGTTTTGTGGAACCGGGGATGTCTTTCAGGTGCAAGAGGTGATCCAGGCTTCCCAGGTGTTTCTGGAACACCAGGAGACCGAGGAGAGGAGGGAGATCGTGGGTTGCCTGGTCTCCCTGGATTCTCTGATGGTAATATACCAGGAACACATGTTCCAACACCTTAACATTATAATGAGTTTTAACTGATACAGAGTCAGGATATGGGAAATATATATGCAGACCATGGAATATGCAGTGCAGAGTGGTAGATAATAACTGTGGAGGCAAAAAATGAAAGAGTTATTCCTTCAGCCCAGTGGCGCTCTAGCAAAACAACTGAAATAGAGATGACGACTGAGCCTTGCTTCAGTAACTACTATTAATTTGCTCAAGTGAAAAGTGCAGTTACCTTTTTTGTTCCACGCTAAATAGCTGCATTTTTTCTTGCACATTAGATGCAGTTGTATGAACTTTCTCTTCTATTACATTACAACTTTTTGAGCAGCATTGTTAAGAAATTTTTCTGAACTTCTTCCCTGATTCTTTTTCAGCGGATGGAGATAAGCCAGGCTTACCTGGAGAAATGGGACCAAAAGGTGAAAAAGGTGAAAGAGGATCTCCTGCTTATTATGCGGGCCCACCTGGGCTTCCGGGTAAGGATGGCTCACCAGGACTCCGTGGTCCACCCGGTCCCGCTGGAGCCCCTGGTAAGTGCATGAAGAGAGATGCTGAGAACTCACAGGACCATCTTTGCTTATTTTAAAGATAGCTGTTGTCAAGGCAAAGTGAGATTGTAGATTGACAGAATGAAGCTAAATGAGCAATGTGGAGGTGTGGTGGGTTGACCTTGGCTGGACGCCAGGTGCCCACCCAACCACTCCATCACTCCCCTTCTCGGCTGGACAGGGGAGAGAGTAAGGTGGAAAACAACTCGTGGGTTGGGATAAGGCAGTTTATTACAGCAAAAACAAGGCAGAAGCTTGTCTGCACAAAAACGAAGAAGAGCAGGATTTATTCTCTACTTCCCATGAGCAGCAATGATTGTCCACCTCCGAGAAGCAGGGCTTCGGTACGTGTGACGGTTCCTCAGCAGGCAGCCATTGGAGACAATGAATGCCCCCCTCCTGCTCCGCACCTTAGTTTTTATATCTGAGCTGATGTCATATGGTATGGAATATCCCATTGGCCAGTTTGGGTCAGCTGGCCTACTTGTGTCCCCACCCAGGATCTTGCCCTCAGTTGAGGAAGGAATGTTACAGAGCTGATGCTGTGCTCTGCAGTAGCCAAAACACCAGTGTGTTATCAACACCCTTCTATCTACCACTGCAAAGCACAGCACTGTGAGGGCTACTGTGGGGAAATGAACTCCAGCTCATCCAGACCCTATAGAGGAGGACACACAATAAAGTCTTGTATGCTCATCAGTGAAGGAAAGGTTTGCATGGGTTTTAGACATTCCTGACAGCACTTGAAAGAAGGTCTGTTTTGGGCTGGGGGAGGGATATGAATATCAAGGAGGGTCTGAAAGAGTTGGGTATCTTCCTTATCCTGGAGTAGAGAAAACTAGGGGGAATCTTACTGCTCTCTTCCCCTACCTCTTGGGAGGTCGTTGGGAAAATGCTTCACTGAGGAACCAGCAACAGGGCAAGAAGAAATGGTCACGAGCTGCAACAAAGGAAGTTCTGGATAGATACTAGGAAAACCTTTTTCACCATAATGGTGCTCAGACACTGGAACAGGTTGCTCAGGGAAGCCTGGACGTTAGGAGGAATTTCTTCACAGAAAGGGCTGATAAACATTGGAATGGGCTGCCCAGGGTGGTGGAGTCACCATCCCTGGAGGTGTTTAAGAAAGGACCGGACGTGGCACTTAGTGCCACAGTCTAGTTGACATGGTGGTGTCTGTTCAGAAGTTGAACTCAGTGATATCAGAGGTCTTTTCCAACCTAATTGGTTCTGTGATTCTGTACACTTCATCATTGGATATATTCAGTACGCAGCTGGACAAGGTCCTGAACAACTTGCTGTAACCTGAAGGTTGACCCTGCTTTGAGCAGAGGGTTGGACCAGGTGGCCTCCAGAGGCCACCTCTGACTGAGATTGTACTGTGCTTCTGTGAAAAGCACTGCACTGCAGTGCAAGAGCAGGACTGGAGAAAAGGATGTACAGGAGATGATCCAGAGATGGCTGTTTGTGCTAATGCAAAGTAGGCTGGGCTGAGTGAGAGAAGCAAAGGAATTCAGCGTGAGAGAGAGTAAAGAATGGTAAGGATCATCTGCCACAGCAGATGGAAGTTAGGAAGAATGAGTGTGAGAAGCTGTGAGAAGATTAAGAGAGGAAGAGAGAGTGGGGTACATCACAACAGGCTGGGTTAGACAGTAAGTGACATTAGGGGAAAAAGAAAGGGGCAGGTGCAGTGCAGCTCAAAGAAATAGGAAGGAAAGAGAACAGTAAATCTACAATAGATTAATTCATATTTTTATTTGATTAAATTTCTAGGTCCTCTCTATGGATTAAAAGGACAGGAGGGAACGCCAGGCAGATTTGGTACACAAGGTTTCCCTGGGCCAAGGGGACGAAAAGGACCTAAAGGTAGGTTATAACTAATAACACAATAGATGATCTGCTGTTATGCATTATGTAAAGCTCAGACTGTATTCAGTCTGAGTTTATTGAACTTTGACATGCATGGGGACTGATGAATTTGATTTGGGGCTAACACAACAAAGAAACAATGTGTTGGCTTCTTGTAAGGAATAAGGAAAAAAAAAAGTACTTTTCTCAAGTATTTGAGAAACTACTCGAGTATTCTCAAGTCTATATATAAAATGGTTACAGCTGCACATCTATTTGTTGTGACAGAGCATTCTTTCTTCTCTCTCCAATCCTTTCCTTAGGCGAAGAAGGGGATTGCACTGCATGCCTTTTGGGTGAGGAACTCAGAAGGGGCTCTACTGGCCCCCCTGGCCCTCCTGGCTTTCCAGGAACCCCTGGCCAGCCGGGGAGGAAAGGAGAACCTGGTGATCAAGGACCACATGGTCTTCCTGGCTACCCTGGAGCAAAAGTGAGATAGTTGTTTATTTATTGCTTAGTTTTATATGCCCACTAGAAGAAAAGAAGACAAAAAAAAGAGCCCAAACTATTCTCCATGTTAAAACAATGAAAAATACAATTTATTTCTTTCTTTGCCCCTTCAATAGTTCTCAGGTTGCTATCTACAAAATACCAAAAGCCAAAAATTGCTGGTACAGAAGTGAAAATAGGATGCTTTGGGAAGTGAAAATAGAATGCTTTGGGAAAAGCAAAACATTTCCACATAATCCAAAGTCCACTTTCTGTTTGAACAAAGAAGAACCCTTTCAAGCATCTGTAGTACTGAGTGTGAAAAATCAGAAGCAGCCATAAAACATTTTAATAACACCTGTGTGCTAAATTGCATTATACTGAATATCAAAACCTTGAAAACAAAAAAATAGCTATGTAATGATCATACTATTAATGTAGTGTTACTGCTGAAGGTTTCTGCAGGTATGTAGTCAGTGAAATGATTCAGTGTTATTTTAAGTTCCTGAGATTTCTTTCGGCCTGAAAAAGATTCAATGTCCAGAAGGAACATCTTTACCATGGAGTACAGATGTGGCTTCACTGACCATTAAAATTCAGTTTTCAAAGATGGCCCAGGTAAAGCAGGATGCTTATACTCAATTCTGATCTCCCCCTTTAGACTAACAGAAGTGAAAACCTGTATGGTTGAGATGACCTGCAGCTGAGATGCAGGTTCCACACATGCTTTTCACCCAGAATGTCACTAAAAGGCAGAGGTGCAAAAGACACACTTTTAAATAATGTATGGCACAGGAATATTTTAAACAAAAAATAAATATATCAGGTACCTCTCTTTCATTCAGTGTTGGCCCTGGAATTCAGTAAGAGGTGGCTAAGGACAACCTAATGTGCACAGCTTATATTTTAATGAGCATGAGTGTAATTATGCAGAACTAAAGCTAACTGGCATAGAATAGTCAATGGTAAATGAGTCTATAACCTCTGGGTCTTGGCACCTACCATGGGTTTGGTCCTGTGGTTGCGAGGCACTTGGCCTGCAGCTGGCAATATAACCTTCAGATGGGCTGTTCAGGAGGAGGTTTCTGGATTATGCCAAGGACTCAGGAATGTCAGAGACTGGTCTTTAGCTTCACCACAGTTTGCCTTTGCAAGAGAGAAAGTCTCCATTGCAGATTTTCAATGCATGGCTAGGCAAGGTCCTGAGCAACCTGCTCTATCTTCAAGTCCTAGCTTGGACCAGGGACCTCCAGCCCTTCCAAAACCTTCCCACAGGTCTGTGATTTGGGGCAGGTCACTTAATCCCTCTGTGCCCAAGTTCCTGTCTCTGGTAAATAAAGATGGTGCTACTTTTCAGCTCCAAAACAGTGTTTGAACTACAGTCCACTGCCAGTTGTGAGGCTGTCCTCATTGGTAGTGGTGCGCAGGAGGAGTTGTATGTCATACAACCCAGTGTTGTTTCCAAAGTGTCAAAGAGTTGCTTACAGCATTTGCTTTGGTGGCTAACACTGAGTGATTTACCACATTTTCTCCAGTACAATTCTGCAGATGCAGTCACCTGCAAGACTCTAGCTCATGGAAACACACAGGTGTCCCAGTGAATCCTCATGCAGAAGCTCCCCTACCATGCCATAGAGAATCCTGTCCTAGTTAGAATATATTAATAAAGATTCTGTACAAGAATGGGATTACTGAAGAGGAAATCATTCACAGAAAGTAATGGGAAAGAAGTAAAATTTAAGGAGAATTTTTTTTTTAAGCAGGACACTGGAAATGCAGATCTTGATAATTATTTCTTAAACAGTTCTGGTTTGTTTCATTTTTCTTAATGCATGTAACACCAGGGATTTTCGGGTCCAGCTGGATTTCCTGGACGGAAAGGAGAAAAGGGAGATTCTTTACATATAACTACAAAAGGTAGAGTAAAAATTTATATCATGTGTATTTTCCTATTATTTATACCTTTAATTAGAGATTGGTCTAACAATGCAAGGCCTTCTTTAGGCACCAAAGGAATCCGAGGAGATCCCGGGCTACCTGGTATCAGAGGTGGAGATGGTTTCCCTGGCAGAGATGGATTAGATGGTTTACCAGGACAGCCTGGCCTTCCGGTAAGCAGCAAATACAGCTAAATCTTTTCCACCACACCCAGTTACTAATGCATTTAATTCTGAGGGATTACGATCACCAGGCTATCCTTCTCTCACAGATAATGATACACAACTAGACTGGCTTTGCTAGTTATCAATATTTTAAAAATCAAGTTTTCTCTCAAGAGTTTTTAGAACAATCTTGCACTTTAATTTCCATTGCATTTAAACAACCGGGTAGTACTGTATAACTCATTTAGGCCATCTTGTTATTACTGGTTAATTTGTGGTAATTAGTGATTTATTAGTGACTCCTTCTAGCATTGTCTAAGAGAGATTCTCTGTGACTGAACTTCAACAGCTTTGGTTCAATCGAGTCAAAGAAAAGCAAAATTTGCTGCAATTGTATGGTTTTAAAATGTACATTGTGTCATCATATATATGCTTTATAGCAACTGTAGCCATCTAGAAGTTAGATATTTAGTCTTTGTTCATTTTTTAAGCTCCTTCTGTAGGCAAAAGTTAAATACCTCATAAGAGGAATTCATCTTGCCCATCATAAATGCTGTTTTTAACCACTGGGATGCTCTTACATCGTATTTTAAGAGGGGCAAGAGCTGTATTGTGCACTCTGGACCATAGTGCCTTTTACTACCAGTAAAGATGGTACTTTATATTACTTCTGAGGATGGAATGGTTTTCTCTAATGATGTTCATAAGATATTGATTCAATAGTGTAGAAATGTCACTAGAGGAAGAGACAAAGTCCGCCTTTTTGGGTGCATTTTTATGTCAGTTTTTCTCAGAAGTAAATGCCAGAACAGAACATTTCTAACAATGCTTGTGGTCTCCCTAAACCCACTTACAGCTTTTCAGAAAGAACCATGAGCCTCTCCACAGCACTGATTCATTTTGCCCAAGTGGTGTTCATGGGCCAGCGTTTTTAGGGAAATATTCCTTCAAGGAGTGCTTCTCTCATGCCTTTTCAGCTGTGAGGTCTACATTAAAGTCAGATTGTTTCAAAATACTTTATTTTCAATGTTGATTTAGAGAGCTGGGATGCAACACTTGAGAAATTACTGCCTAGAAGATGCTATTCATGAGATTAGTTCAACTGTTTGAGTTGTGTTTGTTTCTCAGCAAAGTCAGGAGTGACCGCCTCCATTCTCTTCCCGCAGGGTGATGGCATCAGAGGTTTCCCTGGTGATCCTGGTTATCCAGGTGAATTAGGCCCAAAGGGCTTTCCAGGAGAAGCAGGCCTGCCAGGTGAAGGATTTCCTGGTCCAAAAGGGTTCCGGGGTCCTCCAGGTGACCAAGGACAAGATGGAAACCCAGGACCTCCAGGTCTGCCTGGTCTACCAGGAGAGCCTGGCCAACTAGGTAAGAGACATCTCCCTGTCTTAGATCAGAGCCATAGGATGTCCTCGCTGAATTCCATGCAGCATTTGTACAGCACACTGTTGAAAAAGTAGATCTTGGTGGGGGTTATGGGGGGGAAAAGGGATTGCTCGTATTGTCCAGAAATCTTAAAGAAGGAGATACTTCAGAAGTCCCAGTAGTTTCATGTCAGGTATTGAAATAGGGTGAATGAATGTGTTAGTGCCAGCAAGCAACAACTTTCAGGTTTCAAGCAGTTAGAGACAATGGAGCAATGTCCTGCCACTGGAATACTCACAGGTGGTTTTCTCTGATCTTTTCTGTCCAACATAATCTTTTAATTGATCAGAGAAAATCATGTATCCATTCTTCAGGGCTCTTCATAGTATCTCTGCAGCTTTCCGAGTCCCTTCCAAGCATAAGAGTGCCAGGGCTACATTCAGCAAAGCTCAGGCTCAGGGTTTTATTGCTTGACTTCAAGAAGCCTGGAAGAATATGCAAGCTAAAGCAGGCATATGTCAACCCTACACAGTGTGTGGGACACACAGCCTCCTGACTCAGATAGGGTTAGGTTTTAGGCCCAGATCTAACCAATATGTGGATAGAGAGTTCCAGTATATTAAAGCAAATAATTTGTGTTGTATGTGTGCATATTAGATACGAGAATACATTATCTGCTGTTGTAGTAGACATTTTGGTTAGAATTGAGAGCATTTTTCTCTTTTTGCAGTTTTTCTCTTTTAATAATAAGTGCCTTTGCCCATTTTTGCTCATAGACTGTGGACAGGTCACTGAAGACTTTCCTAGAGGAGATGCAACCGAACCAATATGGTCAGGTACTGTACATGCAGATGGCTTGAATATCTTTTAATATTTAGTTTTATGCTGCACTTATGAGTTGATACTTTCTTTCTAATGACTGCTTTGGATGCTCTTGATTGTAAACTATTTTAACTTCAGGTTGCAAATAATCATGTATATAAAGTAAATTAATCAGTCACATTCTAAAATTATTGCACTTTTAGCTCTGCAATTCAGAAATTCTTTATTTCATTGTTCCTGAGTGTGTGTTGTAACACAACAATGATCACTGTGCAATCTATAACCACAGTACCAGAAATTAGGTGCCCAAGAAAATTTTAGCAACTTTTTTTAAAGAAGAACTTCGAGTGAAGATTTTCAGTGCAATTTGACATCTAAGAAGAAAAAACTTAAAACTAACCTGATTGCTTCAGGGCTATACAATGCCCACAGGGAAACAAAGTGTCTCTCTTATTCTGAAAAAGACAGTCATCCCTGAGGTTGGACTACCCTTCCTGTGCTGGTCTAACTGGAGCAGCCACCATAGGCCCTGTAAAATAGGCAGAAGAGCAGCTCTTGGGGTGAAGCTCAGCCTGAGTGCTCTCCTGAAAGTGCTACCCATGGCCAATTTTTTTTTTTTAATGAAGAATAAAACTTCTTTTGCCTGTTAATTTCATTCACCTGTTTTAATGAAGTTGTCCCAGCTGCAGACACAAAGATGATGAGAGGCAGCCTATGAGCACGTAAGGTGCAACTAATTCTTGTTTTTTTACAGGTGCAGGCTGCGTGAGGCCACCAAAGGGATCCCAAGGCAGGCCAGGACTACCAGGAGCCACAGGTAATGTTTTACCTTCCCTTTTGTTTCCCACATGCACTATGTTTGAGGGATATCTTGCCATATTGATGAAAGCTGAGCCTTAGCAGACAGCAAGTTTTAGTCATTACATTGAAGGACAGTGTTAACCTGACTCTGACAGAGACATCTAAGTGTGCAGCCCAGGTGACTGCACCATTCCTGAGCTAATTCTGCCTTGGCTAATGAGTGGCAGCCATGAAACAGAAGACAGAAAGGACATAAAGAACAGCCCATATCTGAGCTTTTCTCCACATACAAGTAAGAGTATACAGAGAGAGTCTACAGGTTTATTGGTAGAGAGAATACTGAGGTCTCTCAGAGCTGATGGACACCTCACAAGGAAAATACTGAGAGGAAACACCTCTGAAAGGAAAATACCATTCTCAGAGAAGGGTGATAAAAGGTTGCAATGAAGGACTGTGACACATCATTCTTACTGTTCCTCCACGAGTGATATACAGAGCGCCCTCAGCAAATGTGAGTTTAAGGTCTTTAACACAGCTCCATGTTGTGGGCCAGGCTGTCTGTCACAATGGTGTTGTGCTGTCTGTAGCCACACACGCCTTCCTTGCAGAGCTGGTCCCCCCCTAGCCCAGAGGAGCCATCTGATGATCCTGGGCCTTCCCAATACTGACAGTTCCCCACCTCCTTCCAAGAGGAAGAGGAGGTGAGAGCAGAGTCTGAGGGATTATGTGAGATGGAATTGAGAGACACATGGGCAAGGTGTGCTGAGTGGTCATAATGACTGACTTGTGAGAAAGAACCTGTGACCAGCACTGATAGTTCCTATAAGCTTACATACTCCCAGCCTAAGCAATAAAGCTGTTTTTCAGTAAATCCTTCTCATCACCAGTTGTAAAGATACTGACAAAAACCATAACTGGGTCCTTCAGAGTTTGAGAAATGTGAAATTCATGATGCATCTGTTCCTGTGCCCCTGTGCTTTAGCCAAGGTTGGAGATCTGGAGTATAAATTTTAAGGTCAAGCTTTTTTTTTTTTCTTTTTCAACACAAGTTTTATTATGGCATACATGGATTGATGGGTTGATTTATCTCAAACTAATGGATCTTAAAATGGAACATTTTATCTCTGTTGAAAGATGACCTGTGTTTTCTCAGTCCTAATGCCTGAGTTTGTTAGTAGGATCAATGCTTCTGAAGATTGTTTTCTTTGCCATTCTTGTATTTTTTTCTAAGTATGATGATTTGTTTATTCTTTCATTCTTATGAGCTTGAAGGTTTTTCTTTCAATGAGTACAGTCAGATTTAACTCCCAGCTGTAAGACTGCTGTAACACAAGTGATGCTGTTTCACGTGTTTCATATTTTGTATTCTTGATTAGTTCTCTAATAGATCTTTCTGTATCTTTGTCAGCTTATATGTTTTAGTAATTTTAAGATTTGTTTTTCATCCTCTCCCTCCAAAAAAATAGAAAAGGCCTGTTGTTGAGCCCAGTGCAGAACTCTATTTTTAGCTGCATTTCAACCTGAGGCAGTTCTGGATCTGAAAATCTGTGAGGAACAGGACACATTTTCATGGCTTCCTTTTACCATAGCTGGTCAATTGAGTTTTTTGAAGCATCATTCCTACCCACATTCTCTGGACTGACACAAAAGCACCAACACCTCCTTTACACCATTTTGATTGTCTGCTTAGAGTACACATGGTTTGCCCACAAGATTTCCCACCTTCTGTTCAGCAAGGATGGAGCTCTGGTATAGACAATCAAGTCTCTCAGTGTCCTGGGTGCTTGTGGCACACAGTATATAGAGCAAGGAGATGTCTTTATAGTTTCAGACTCTCATGTCCTTGTGTTCCTTTGAAATTCCTGGCAGCACACTCAGCTCACCCTAAGTTACATCTTGGTTATTCAGGAGTCTCAAGACCTACATAATTGCTGTTGAATAAAATGTTTAAGCTGTTTTCTGTTTCAAACATACAGCTAAAGTGCTTGCAAACTAAACAATGGCCTAAAACAAAAACTTTTTCTCTCTGCTGTTGGGTACAATGTGTCAACATCAGCTAACATCACATAATGAGTTACTGAAATATGTGGTAAGCAGTGGTTATATTGTCCCTCAGCCTTCTTTCTTTTACATGGCTTTTTAATTAGTGCAATACTGAACAGAATGAATGAAAATCAGTTATTGCAGATGGGAAACAAGACTAAGATGCTATTTGGGTAAGAGACACATTAGAATTTTTCATTGAAACTGGAAAGCCTAGGATTTTCCTTTTAATTTCTTTCTGAGAAGTTATTTCTTATATAAGGGAGAGAACAGTCCTGTACAGCACTGCAAAATGCTATTCACACTGCATTGGCTGGTTATGTGCACCTTATTTCTGATGTTTTTAAGAGTTTCCTTCTCTCCTTGTCAAACAATAGCTCAAACTACAAATAATCATGGTTAAATAATGGAAATTCAGAAAACTAAAGTGGAAAAAAGTATCAAAATTCAAGTGATAGTTTCCGTGATTTGTCATAGTTGGGAATGGAGAGAAACTTGCTTTCAGCATAATAGATAAATTCATGGTGATGCTAAGCAACCACACTTGAAATGTTAAAGCATGTTGTTGACCTTTAGGCCTGAGCTGGGAACTTTTAAAGTTCAAAGTGCTGGGGAGGAGAGGGGCAAAAGCATTCCACAGGAATTATTTGCAAAGAACTTTACCAAAAATCTTGATCTTGGAATACAATGAATCAATGAGACTCACGTAGTAAACTGTTGCATGGAAAAAAATATAATTTTTGAAACATAACAAAGGAATCCTACAACATGCTTGCAGGTTTTGAGATGCTAAGAAACAGTAATATTTAACTGAAATGTTAAATACTATATCACAAGGAAGCAAGGTCTCATTTTACCTGTTAGGAGACAACTCGGTATAAACACTTTTTCAGGGCACAGCCCTTCTTTACTACAGAATCTCTAGACCTGAAGTGTTACAATTATAGTAAGTAGGCTAGTTAATTTGTATTTGGTTTCTAGTATGATTAGCTCTAACCTTTAGCCTTACGTTTCTGTTTGCGGTCATCTAAATCAGTCTGCTCTTGTTCTGTGATCAGTTTAGCGGGGAAGGGAAAAATTTGTTCCTCCTACAGTATTTCATCTGTGCCCGCTTCTGTGAACATTATTCTTTGGCATTGCCTTTTGACCTTGAGCTAAAAGTCTTAATTTACAAAATATTAAAAGGTTCCAAAAAGTCTGTGAGACTAATTATTTTCACCCTAGTAGTTTCCATATCATTAGTCTTTAAGTCAGGTTAATCCATGTTTGTAAAAACACTTAGCCTAGATTTTGGTCCATGTTTGAATATCTTGAATACTTCTAAGGAGCTACAGTATAGTCCCATTAAATCTTTTAAAAAGCTTCATCTTTACGTCCAGAAACACATTATGATGATATTTACTACTACATTTTCTTACATTATATGCACATTTCTCTTTTGTTTGTTCAAATCACACTTTCTTACTTCCTTTTGTATAATTTAGGTGCAAAAGGTGCAAGAGGATTCCCAGGTGATCCAGGTCCAATGGGTTTTCCAGGGCTAAATGGTACACGAGGTGATCCAGGTCGGGAAGGATTCCCAGGTCCTCCAGGTATCTTGAAATAATTAGTCATTCTTTATATATTTTTGACCTCTTTGCTACAGTACTGAAACACAAAAACTTGTTTCCAGATACGTTTTTATTTCTCTTCTACCTTCAATCACTAAGCTATTAGACATAACTGCTACTTTTCAAATCCAAAATGATTTCCTGCAACTACTATAGTGCTAGAAAGTGACGTAGATGTCAACCTGCCTTGTAGTGCAAAATTATAAATGTGACAGTAAAAATTTATGAAATTCATGTCAAAAAAAATCAATAACAAGATATTTCAGATTCCAAAGAGATTTTACTCATAATGATGATGCAGAAAGGAAGAAAATAATAACATTAGTACTTCTATTTAACTCTTTCTAACATTAGTATAAATGATACTGCACATATCAAAGGTAGAGTACTAGCTACTCACCTTGTGCATAGGCAGCTCTGTTCCCAAAGTGTTTTGCAAGTGTCCAGTGCCTGTCAAATTTTATGCTAGTGTGTAATAGGTACAGATTTTTAAAGTCCCAAGGCTTGTTTATCTCTTCAGAGGTTCCAGGATGTCCGAGATACATCAACTCAAGACACATCAGGACACATATATCTGTTCATAGATAGTAAGTCAAATGAGCCTGTATGTTTGTGCCACTACACACACATATAAGCTGCAGTAGGTATATATGTTCACGTACCATCAGTCAGTCCAGCAAGAATTACCTCCAGAAACTACCACTTCCCTGGTGGTTGACCAGAGTAATTTCATCACAGAAATGGACAGAGGGGGGTTTTTTCTGTAGCACAATACAGAACCCATTGATGCAAGGTAATCTACAAGCTCTTTAGAAATTCTTTTCATCTTATCTGTTTTCAAAGTCCTAAATCCTCACAGATTCTGAAGTGCTGAAAACTTTCCCGAATCCAGTGCCAGGTGCTGCTTCACCCTCATGGGGCTTCACAGCACATGGCCTGATAGACTAGACTTATCTATAGCACCTGTAGCAGCAAAAGAGAAAGAAAAAGAAGAGTTGATGCATGCCCTGGTCAACAGGCAAGGACTGCATAATAAAACATGGTTCTGTGCAGCATAGGGAAGGACCATGAACCTGTATTTCCCCTGCTAAACTCCACAGAGTGCTCTAAATGCTAAATTACGGCTCCCATATCATATGGCTCCCAGAACACAGGAACCAATTTTCTGCAGTCTTTTGGACACAGGGACCAATTTTTTGCAGTCTTTTGTACTGTCTTTCACCAGTGCTTGGACTCAACTTCCAGTCCAGGTCCAGTTTCCTAGTCCACAGAAGCCTTTCACCTGTCACTTGTGGTAAAAAGAGGGCATTATAATGGTTTATCTAGGATTTGAACTCCATTTGTAGTGAACCCTGTGATCCCTAGTCCCTGTTTTATTTCAGGTTTTACTGGACCCAGGGGAGACAGAGGTCCAAATGGTCTACCTGGACTTCAGGGACACCCAGGCCTTACAGGAAAATCCGGAGCTCCAGGAGCACCAGGACCGAAGGGCCTTCCTGGTGATGTTTTTGGAGCACCAGCAGGTTCCCGAGGGGATGTCGGGCTCCCTGGCTTCCCAGGACTGAAAGGTGCACCAGGAGATCAAGGAGTACCAGGAATTAGAGGTAACAGCTTCTTCAAATAAAGAAATGCTTGAGTAAGAGTGTGATACAAATGTCAAATTACAAGGATGTGAGAGTACTAAAAGACCGTGTTAGGAAGTACCAGAGGTTCCCAGCAGACTGGAAGCTGGCAAACATTGTCCTGATTTTCAAGAAAGGAAAGAAGGAGGACCCTGGAAATTACAGGCCTATTAGTCTCACTTCAATGCTTGGTAAAGTTATGGAGAAGATTATTCTGGGAAGTATTGAAATACAGCTGAAAGACAATGAAGTCTTTGGTCACAGCCAGCATGGCTTCATGAAGGGCAAGTCCTGCTTATCCAGCCTGATTTCCTTCTATGACAAGACAACCCACCTAGATGATCAAGGGAAGCCAGCTGATGTAAACTTTTTGGATTTCAGTAAAGCTTTCAATACTGTCTCTCACAGGATCCTTCTGGACAAACTGTCCAGCACACAACTGGATAAACACATCATGTGGGTGAGCAATTGGCTCACAATCTAAGCACAGAGGGTAACAGTGAATGGGGTAACATCAGACTGGTGACCTGTCACTAGTGGGGTTCCACGGGGCTCCATCTTGGGCCCTGTGCTCTTCAACATCTTCATAAATGACTTGGAGGTAGGACTGGAAGGGATGCTAAGGAAGTTTGCAGATGATACAAAACTGGGAGGAGCTGTTGACTCCCTCAAAGGCAGGGAGGTCCTGCAGAGAGACCTTGACAAATTAGAGGACTGGGCAATCACCAACCATAGTTCAACAAGGGGAAGTGGGATGGGACAAGTGGTTGGGACGGGACAACCCTGGATGTTTGTACAGACTGGGAGATGAGATGCTGGACAGCAGTGCCACAGAAAGGAACCTGGGGGTCCTGGTCAATGGCAAGTTGAATATGAGTCAGCAGTGTCCTGGCAGCCAGGAGGGCCAACCATGTCCGGGGGGGGCATCAGGCAAAGCATCGCCAGCTGTTCGAGGGAGGGGATTGTCCTGCTCTGCTCTGCACTGAGGCGGCCTCACCTTTAATGTTGTGTGCAGTTTTGGTCACTTTAATATAGGAAAGATGTTAAGCTGTTAGAGAGTAACAAAAGGAGGGCAACGAAAATGGTTAAGGGCCTTGAGTGGCAGCCGTATGAGGAGCAGCTGAGGTCACTTGATCTGTTCAGCCTGGAGAAGAGGAGACTGAGGGGAGACCTCATCACAGTCTACAATTTCCTCATGAGGGGAACAGGAGAGGTAGACGCTGATCTCTTCTCTGTGGTGACCAGTGACAGGACCCAAGGAAATGGCCTGAAGCTGTGTCAGGGCAGGTTTAGGTTGGATATTAGGAAAAGGTTCTTCACCAAGAAGGTGGTTGGGCACTGAACAGGCTCCCCAGGGAAGTGATCACAGCACCAAGCCTGACAGAGTTCAGGAAGTGTTTGGATGATACTCTCAGGCACATGGTGTGATCCTGTGCAGGGCTGAGAATTGGACTCAATGATCCTGATGGATCCCTTCCAACTCAGCATATTTTATGATTCTGTGATGACCCCAGTATCAGTTCCCAGTGTCTGATGATCTCCCATCCTTTCCACATCTGTGTCAACTGTTATCAATAAGCCTGGCTCCTCCAAACACCTTCTGGAGATACATTGCTTATGTTCAGCTCTTCTTCACACTGCTCTACATGAAATCAGCTACAGTAGGATATTACAGAACCAGATTTTGCTCATCTTTGTTGCATTCAGACATACTGCTAATTATTTTCCTCTGTAGTTAAGGGAATGGTGATGTAGTCATTATCCTGACTTTTCACTTACCTACTGCATAATACTGAAGTTGTTTCCCATGCCAAAAGATGCCTGGGTAATGCTGGGTGAAAGATGTCTGGCTTTGCCAATCAGCACATTGCACTAGTGCCAAAATTGTGAATTTTAATTAAGAGGACATAGTGTTAATAAGCCATTTTACCTTGTCAGTCTTTGGGCACTCAGGAACATAAAAAAAACATTATATACTTATTCATAACTTCAGGGTGTTCATTTTAGTTTGTTATTTCACAGACCTTAAAACTCATGCTAAATTCCCTATACAAAACAGAAAAAACCATAATTTCTCTACAAAATCTGACTTTGTTACTCTCTGAACTCTGTGGAGGACTTTCAGAAAAGCTCATATGGGAATTTAGCATGCTCTGCTACACAGTTTCAGGAGCATTTGGACACATAGTTAAATTTACTGATTACCCCCTTGCCCTGAGTGGAAGTGAGAAAGAAGTAGTAATTGTGTGACTAACTCAAAGCAAAGGAGTTTGTCACAGGAACTGGTTTTGGATATTCTTCTCATGATTTTCTATACAAATAAACAAAGCATCCTCTTCCCTGAGTTATTTGAAGCAAGGAGAGCTGGTTTCACTTTCAGTAGAGCTCCAGAGTGAAGGAAAGGGATGAAAGCAACTCTGTGGCACTTCACAACTTTGAGAAAAAGCAGAAAACATTATTAACCCTCTGAAAAGGGGAAGAAATTCAAGGTAAAACACTGATTGAAAACAAAAAAAATTAGTGTGACTTTGCACCCTCTTTGTAAGCTTTTCTGTAGAACAAAGCTTTCAGTAATAACAAAAAATAAGTACAGTGAAAACAAAAAGTGTTACCAGTTTGTCTATTCTTGATTTATTTTACAGTTCTGACAGAATGGGTCCAAATGGCATGTGAATTTTTATATGAGTTATAAATATTTTTCATTTTATAGGAAATGGCTAGGGATTGCTTTATGTCATCTGTGCCACTTTCAGAATAGGAAACTGAAGTCTGTGCTCTGTTTTTGAGAAAACTCACTTTAAGTGATTGCAGTTATAAAGCTCACTTGCCATATAAAGTTATCATGGCTGGGCTTCGCGAATGAAGATTTGGGAAGGGCTCTACCCACATTTGTTGCAAGCGCGTTGGTGGCTAAAAAGGCCAGTACGAGACAGACATGTCCGATTGCAAAAGGCACAGCAGAAAGACTCCTTAGGTGGTATATTCTGCAAGACACGATTCTTTCTGCGTTGTCTTTTCTCCTCAAGAGTGATCCTGCGTGCGTTCTCAAAAGCATCAGCAGCATTATAGATGGTGTGTCTCCAGGTCTCCCGATTGGAGGCCAGAGTAGACCAGTTATGATGATCAATACGGCCAAGGCTGAGATGTTGTTTCAGGGAGTCCTTGTATCTTCTCTTTGGGGCTCCTCTCTTGCGGCAGCCAGTGGCAAGTTCACCTTAAAGCAAGATCTTAGGGAGGCAATGGTCCTTCATCCTTGAGACGTGCCCTGCCCAACGCAGCTGTGTTCTCAGCAACATGGCCTCAATGCTTGTGACTGCTGCTTGTTCAAGAACAGATGTATTGGTCACATAGTATATAAAGTTATAAGTTGAGCCAATGGACCTACACTAATGTAAAACCTAATAAAGAGAAGCAGATCCACTTGACCTGGATTTTAAATGCTATGTACTACTTGTATGTTGCTACTTCTCCAACCTGAATGAAAAGCAGGCATTAGCTTTTAAAACTTGAGACCTCATTTGCTTTTATATGGTAGAGACATAGAGACAAATTTTCACCTAGTGCATTAAGTCATGTAGAATCAGGGCCTTTTTGATAAGGAATTTGTATGACTCTTATAACAATGCTTTGTAACAATGCTTGTTATTTCTGAGCCATAACACAAAACACACTGTCTGCCTTAAATGTTACTATTCCTGCCTATAACATTTTAGAAAAGATACATAGCATTATTTCAGTGGTTCGGTCAGCTGCTTGATTCAATGCTTACTAAGATATATGCGATAGAGAGATCAGGTATTACAGAATTGTTTGGATTAAAAGTGAAAGAAACCTGCTCCATCTGTATCCACCTGGTGGCAAATTGTTACCACTATTTTGAAAGAGCCAGTCAGTCTTTCTGATTAAAATATTGAGATCAGTACTGGTAATGTCAATTATTTTAAAACTGATGAGCAGTCCTTTAATTTGCTTTTCCTGTTCTCACTGAATTTTCAAAGGAAAAACACACCCTGAAAGACTAGTGCATGCTCAGAAAAGATATGTAAAGATAAGCTCTCTAGATATGTATGATCTCTAATGCATGATTATGGTCTTTTAGGAGCGGATGGTAACCCAGGTTTGCCAGGACCAAAAGGAGATCCAGGGCCGCAAGGTCTCCCAGGTTTGATGGGATTACCAGGAACACGAGGAACGCATGGATTCCCAGGTCCACCAGGAAATCGTGGGCCAGATGGTGGGCCTGGCTCTCAAGGACCTCTTGGTGAGGAAGTATTGCTGTCCTGTGTCATTCCTCTTGCCAGTTCTCTGTGTCAGGGCAACTGTACAGTTTTCACAGTGGAAAGTTAAGCTTGGGGCTGTGGGACACGTCAGGCATTAATTCCCCGACAGGGAAATTACCATAATAGTGCAGTCACTGTGATAGCAAATTGTGCTGATGTCACACATGGGAAATAGGGGTGATGATAGTCCTCACTGGCAGAGCTACTGCTTTTCCATCTATAGCCACCTACCAGAGTTTTCTGCTGGCAGACTGGGAATAGTCTTATGGAAGAGAGGCTTAATTATTAAATTAAAGAGGAGGAGAAGTTCCTGTTCGCAGTGGATGTGGAACCAAGCTGATAGCGAGACTGGTTCACATTGATGAGCTGCTTTATCTTTACAATCATTTCTGCAGTTCTTTGATGAAAAAAATTCCAATTTCCCACCTCAATATGGAGCTGGTAGGAGAGCAGTTTTCTCCCTCTTGAGCTACCTTGTATGAAATCATCATATACGTCCAAACACTTTTTAATCTCCCTGCTCTTGTGTTCACATGGCAGGTCCACCTGGTGCTAGGGGAGAAGATGGTGAGCAAGGTTTTCCTGGCCCCATGGGCCTGAAAGGTCTGTCTGGTGACAAAGGTGAAGCAGGCCACGCGGGATTACCAGGCATACGTGGAGTGACTGGTCCCCCTGGCATAAGTGGAATGGATGGCTTTCCAGGAGATAAAGGTAAGCTCTGGACTGCTGCTTTGAAAAAAGTAGTTGCTTAGCGATGAACTGGACACATTCTCTGATGGGTCTACCTCTGTTTAAAACAAAATAATTAGGATCACATATTCCAAAATCACTGTCCATTTTCCCCTGCATTGTGCTTGGCACAACAGCTTGGCACAATGGTAGATTGTTATATTCAATCTATTTAGAAAAGCAATGGCTGTTTTATTTCTCATTTCAAAAAATAGCGTATTTACTCTTTTCTTTCTCTAAAAGTCTTTCCCTTGTCTTAGTCCCACTGGTGCTCATTGAGATTTAGATGTTTCCCCAAACCTTGGCTTTAAAGTTTTTTAAAGCTGGAAGCTGTGAACTGAGCAATGCCAAACACAAGACCTCGATGTTGACTTTTAGCAGGATACTAATGTTATGTTGAGAAGGTGAGATTCTCACCTGCCAGCCGTGAAAACACTACGTATAATGCACTTTGCCTACACCACAGGAGGTTTCAAGTGGGTTCAACTCCATGTGAAGCCAAGTTAAACACAAAGGGGATGCATGCTTAAAAATGCATGTTGCAATTTCATCAGCTGGAAAGACAGAACTTTTTTCCTGGGACAGCTCTGGAGTACTGATCAGCTCTCATTTGAGGGAAATTAAGATCCATTTGTTAGCATTACCCATCTTGTTTAGAAAAGAGCAGTAGGGGAATTTTTGCTGAGAAAAGGCCAGGCAGTCCTGGACCCATGAATTGTATCTCTACATGTAGTAGAACAGGCTGACTAAAAACCTTGTGTGGAACTGTGTATCTTTCTTTAGCTTATCTCTAGGAGAGGGGTTGAACTGATCTTTCAGAAGAATACACTAAGTTCTGGCCATCTCCACATTTCCTCTTGGCCAGTTGAGGCAGGTTAGTGTACTCCCGAGAGTACACTACCTCAGGAGCTCTACTACCTCTCAGAGAGCTTGGGTGCCTGTTCCAGAGCTGCAGAATGCTGTAAGCATCAAGGTACCCAAAAAATAGGTACTGTTGCACCGAAGTTTTTGTACCATTTCAGTCATGTGTTGCTGGTTCACATTTACTTCATTTGCAGAAATCTGAGTAAAGTAACAGTTCTTTTCCCCTTCTTTTTTAAAAGGTTCAAGAGGCTCACCTGGCATTGATGGTTTCAAAGGCATGACAGGCCTAAAAGGAAGGCCAGGCATCAAGGGAATCAAAGGAGAATTTGGCCCACTTGGGCCTCAGGGTGATAAAGGCTCACAGGGCGCACGTGGCTTCAAAGGTATTTGCTTATGGGTGGTACCAGCGTATTTGCTCTTCACATCTGCAGAACTATTTTACAAGGACATAAAGAAGATGCATTTTTCACATGGTAAATTTAGCTCAGACATTCCTCTAACTATTTCACACATGGGCCTCTGGCCAAGAGGCCTGGATTTTCGGCTCAGGGAAAGGTTACTTCTTTGTGAATCTCTACATTAAGGTTAAACACAGACATATCATTATTCATCTGAACTCAGATAGCGGCACCTCTGGGCATGTGCAGAAGTCAACAAAGCCTTTTCCTGGGAATTGTAAAGTGTTTGGGGGAAAATACTTGGATTTTGCTCCAGTTGCACTGTAAAGGCACTGAAATATTCAGAAAACAAGGCAATTATATAGTTAAAAGTCACAAACATATCAGTTGATATCATCACCAGTGAAATGAACACTGTAACTCAGTCCTCTCTTCTTTGCATATAATTATCTTTATATAAATGTTTTGCCTCAAGGCCAAAATGTTCTTTCTAGGGACCCTAAGACTGGTATTTAAAAAAACCCAGTCATCTGCAGTTCAGAGGTTGCAGAACAGTGATCTCAGACACTCAGATAAGGTCTCAGCAAGAAGCAAGTGTGAAAGCAGCCTCTGTGAAGAGAAGTGCAAATATACTTCTTGGTGAAGAAATACATAGTGCATAGTCATGGGAGACAAGTGTGGGTTACTGGCCTGTCTCTGTACCCCATAAAGAACTAAAGATAGTCATATGTGGGTCCTTTCTTCAAGACATTTACTGATGTCACCAGTAACCATAAAGTCAAGAAAATGAACAATATGACTGGTCACAAATCCAAACACTTTCTTTTGCCCAAGGCTTTTTGACCGAGAATTTCCCTTTCACTTTTCTGTGCTTTCTTCAGTGTGCTTTTTGGTTTTTTTTATAAACCATAATTTTGCGTTTCTTTATAAACACATGATTCCTAACTGATCTGCTGAGAGCTAAATTATCTATCACAGAGGAGTCTGGTTCTTGCTCCCCAGGATTGTATGCACAAAAGTTTAACTCAGTTTTCCTGTTTTCTTAAGTGTGACTGTTCCACTGACATGTATTGACACGGGTTACTTTTTATGCAAGTGGATTTTCCGTAGCTTGTACATGGTGTGATTCCTGGGAATGGTCCCGCACAGGGCTAAGAGTTGGACTCAATGATCCTTGTGGGTCCCTTCCAACTCAGCATATTCTGTGATTATTCCTTTTTCCCAATTCACTCTTCTGTTCACTTTTTCTAACACAGTGCTGCTGACTAGCTTTTTGTAACATGGTTGGTTTTTTACCCTTTAGGTGACCGTGGGGATCAAGGCCCCCCAGGAGAACCCCCAAAACTCATGCCCAGCATGATGATGGAAGTTAAAGGTGAAAAAGGAGATGTTGGAGAAAGGGGCACAAAGGGATTCTTTGGCTTAAAAGGTCAGTGGTCACAGCAAAACAAGGCAAGCATATTCAGGACTATCAATCGGTGCCTTTTCTCGGCTACCATACTAAATATTCCCTGCTCATTGTACCATAATGTTGCAGCCCCCCCCCAGCAAAGTCTCTGATACCAAAACTGAGCTTCCAGCTGCATTTCACATTCACCCCTGAGGAAAGCTTTGAGGGGTGATGTCATGTGTGTGTGTGTGTGTGCTGCATTGTGTAGCACATCATGGTGCCATGTTTCAAGAAGGCTGCTTGCAGGAAAACTTCTTACACACAAGGAACTACATGTGAGTTTTCCCTTATTTATTTTTCTTCTTCCTGTCCTGCAGGTAGCAAGGGAATGCCAGGTCTTCCTGGAAAGACAGGAACTCCAGGGTCCCCTGGGCATCCCAGCTACGTGGCTGGTGTGAAAGGGGATATTGGCGCGAAAGGGCTGACAGGTCTGAAAGGGTATCCTGGTCCTGCTGGCTCTCCTGGCATCAGAGGCTTCCCTGGCAGCACAGGAGTCAGAGTGAGTTCATGACCATGAGGGAATAAGGGTGTCCTCATGCTAGCATTCAGTTTCTCTAAGTAGCATTTACCCCTTGCAATTGTGCTGAACAACTACAGTGCAAAGATAAAAATGCAATAATCATCGAATAAATAGATCAAATATTTTTGCTTGATCCCTCCAACATTCATTAAGCAGAGTAATTTCTTTTCTCATTGTGAAACATCCAAATTTCATGTACCATCTTTTTGCCAATGAGGACCCAGATGGTTCCTTCTAGGTCCTTGGTCCTGTTGCTGCTGCTGTTGGTAAAAATTATTCTCAATGCCAGCCTTACTTTTCTTTCTCCCAGGACTGATGGTATTACTGGCAAAAATTACTCACTGCCACTCATCTATCAGTAGAAGAGTTTAAAGATCTTAGCTTCTAGAGGGTAATTCACTATTATTCACTTTGACCACAAAATAAATTACACTGGAAGAAATAAACATTTAGAAAAGTTCTTACAGTTGACTCACAAATATCATTTATTTAAGAGAGACAAAAACTGTATTCCTTTTTCAGGTAGCTCTGCCCTTAGGTTTCAATAAGACTTTTTTCTAACCAAGGACTGCAGGACTGTTAGAGTTTAACCCCAGCCAGAAACTAAGCCCCACACAGCCACTTGCTCAGTTATCCCCTATACCCCCAGCAGTATGGGGAGAAGAGAGTTGGAAGGGTAAAAGCAAGAAAACCTGTGGATTCAGATAAGAACTTCAATAATTGAAATAAAATATAGTAACAATAAATAGTAATAATAATAATAACAACAGTAATATTAATGAAGAGGAAAATAGCAATGAGAGATAAATAAAACCCAAGAAAGACAAGTGATACAAATGAAAACAATTGCTCACCACCAACTGGCTGATGCCCAACCAGTCCCTCATCCCACCATCCCCCTAGACTTCATGCTGAGCATGACACCAAGTGGTGTGGGATATTAACCCTTGGGTCATTTGGGATCAGCTGTCTTGGCTATGTCCCCTCCCAACTCCTTATGCACCCCCAGCCTGCTCTCTGGCAGGGTGGGGTGAGAAGCAAAAAAGGTCTTGACCCTGTGTAAGCGCTGTTCAGCAATAGCTAAAACATCCCGGTGTTATCAACACTTGCTAGCACAAATCCAAAACATAGCCCCATACTAACTACTATGAAAAAAATTTACTCTGCCCCAGCCAAAACCAGCATAAGGACTCACTTCTATATATGCATAATAGGATATCCTCAATTTCAAACTTAAGTCTTTGCAAACATAACTTGTCCTTTGGTTTGTACTGGTCTATCTTAACTGACCTGCAGCTCTATAAAGTACTACAGAAACTCAAAAATATTTCCAAACTCTGCTGCTTGGAGGGTTGAATAAATCCTCAGCCTTGTTAACTGATACCTTTTTTCAATCATATGATAGGGAGAAAAGGGTATTCCAGGAATTTCAGGCCATTTTGGTACTCCTGGCTCACATGGAGAAATAGGTGAGTTTGCTCTCTTATCTGAGTGCTGTTTGTATTCATTACCCATCAAATACTTGACAGTAAATTCTGAAGTGTCTTAGTGGATCTTAAATCTTAAAGAGTCTTCATACAGTCTTACAGAATGTTATTGCAGATGTGGGAGGCTATGAAAAGGTTAATACTGTTAATTTCATGCAACCTGTACTGTCCATGGATAAATCCATCCATGGCAGGGAGGGGAGCTGTTCTAGAAACTTTTTTAACCTTCTTTAACTTATTCCTTTTGTATTCTAGAAAGATAATAATTGCTGAATTTTGCCTCAGAAGTAGCAATTCCTTCAAAACAACAAGAAATAGTGTTTAAATTAAAGCCTTACCGCTCATGTGTTCATTTTTTTCTTGAAATAGGTGATCGGGGAGATACTATAAACTTGCCAGGAATGCCAGGCCTTAAAGGTGAAGTTGGTGTGCCAGGCTTAACAGGTATTAATTTCACAGTTGCTCTCTAGATGTATTTCTTTTCACATACTAAAGTCCACAGAGGAAGGGAGGAAGAGCTTACCATGGGCTTTTGGTGGCTCTTGAACTTGTGTCAGTGACAGTTCCTGGAGAGGTTCATCTTTTCCTTATTGAAATGAGTATGTGCTACATTCACCTCTTCAACTGAAAGTATAGTTATAACAGTAAACATCACATGGAACTACAGTAAACATTTCTATAAAATTTTTTGCCATTGATGATAAAAGGAGCAATATAAGACCATGATTATGGAAGATGAGATAGCAAAATCTGATATATTTTTGGTTGGGTTGGTTAGGTAATGTATTAAAATTTCCCTGCACATGCATAACACTTGAACATCAGTGTCACATTCCATATAATATGGGGAGTACTTTTAAAAACAAATTTAATGATGGTTTGGCTAGATGACTATTCATTCTTCCAGATTATGCAGCTACCATGATGAGAAGAATGTCTTTATGTGGCAAGACCGGTACCCATTCAGTAGCCAAGTTCACATTATGCTTATTAGCTTAGGATTGTATAGAGATTATTAAAATAATATACTGGTTTTGTGGTTTTCCAGGCATAAGAGGAGGCGTGGGACAAAAAGGTGAAGGTGGAGATCCTGGTTTCCCTGGCATTGAAGGCCTCAAGGGCACACAGGGTGACCCTGGTTCTGTGGGACAGGAAGGTAAAATATTCTTTTAAACACTCAAAAGAATATAACAGTTTAGGAAGAGAAAGAAAAAAACTAGTTGCCTTGAAAGAAAATCATTAAGGTTTTTAACATGTTGATCATTCGGTTGGTGAAGAGCAGTGACAAGGATGTGGAATTCACAGTAGAATTTAACAGATGTCAAAAGCCTAACTCTGCTTCATACCAGTTTTTCCTTTTTTATGCCAACTATGTGTCCAGTCAAGTGTTGTGTTGCTGGCATATTCAGGTGTTCTAATATTGTCACAATACTGTGAAGAAGTGGGCTTTTCAATGATCTTTTCTTCTATAAATGAAGTCAATATCCCCCAGGACACAGTTATAGAGCCTGTGAGCCAGGCTCATGGGCCAGCTGTGCAAGAGAAACCAAGTCAGGTTCACCTGTGGCTGGATCATACACTTGGGGCTTCAGAACATGTCTTATTGCAGGAGGATCATGGAAATGTTCTTTCAGAACAGTTGCTCCCCATATTACTCGTAGAGGGCTTAGAAACTCCAGCCAAGACTGGAAGAGTTTCAATGGGTACCTCACCGGGACACAGTCCTTGTCTGATCAGCTTTCCAGTCAGAAACGCAAAACAGGTGCAGCAGAAGGGGAAGTTGAGGTGCACAGAGATGAAATTACTTATTGTGATTGGCAACAGAAGTCAAGTTATCATTTTAACAGGAGGAGCCCACTGTCTTTCTGAGGTTGTCAGAAACCTGAAGTTTGTAATGAATTATTCTTTTATACTTTGTCTCTCCTACCTTTGCTCTCTTTAGTTTTCTTCTAGTTGGATGAGCAGTGCAGTGTCATTGGCATTAGGAAGGGAAAGTCTTTATTTTGCTGGCTGGGAGAATAAAGGTAGCACAAGTCTGTGTTTTGGGCCACTGGTTTTAAGGACACTCATAAGCAATGATTGGTTATTGTCACACAGGTTTGCCAGGACTGGTTGGCCCGCCAGGGCAGCAAGGAAGCCCTGGGACGCCTGGATTTCAAGGTGAAAAGGGAACTCCCGGCTGGCCTGGCTTACCAGGACAAGCAGGTATTCATGCAGCTTCAGCTATTCAATTGTTTCAGTGTAAGCACTTGGTATTGTTTCATTGGTGTGAAGAAGAAGAAGAACAGGGGCCTTTTGCAGTTCCATGTCACAGTTTCCTCTACTAAATATTTATTCCTCATAAAGTACAGGGGCATTAGCAAGCACACATGTGGTTGCTTTCTGATTTAAGGCTTCTGGTGTCTTCTCAGCTCATTTTAACTACTGATGACCTCCTTCAACCAGGAAAATTTTCAAGAAACAAAAAAACATTATTTGAAATGCAGCAAGGGTAGTGATTTACAAGATGAGACTATCTAATGTGGCATTAGATAAAAAGCAACATATTTGTCTTAATCGTCACCAAAAACTGAATTGATCCAATATCTGTTTTCAAGAATAAGTGACTTACAGCTTAGACAAAATTGTGCTATCAAAATGCAGGTGATAGTTTAAAATGAAGCTGTTTTATCACAGGATACAGAGTCTCATCAGTTGCTACTTAATTCCTTACTATATTAAGTTAGCAGATTTTTTTCTGCCTTACAGCCAGAAATTACCCTGCTTTTATTCTGTTATCTGAATCTGTATCAAAGCTAAGCTAATATAGTTATGAAGGCTGCCCATATAGACAGTGAAGAGAGAGAACAGCCACTTATTTTTCTGATATTGAATTGTCCTCCAGAGCTCCAGCCACTGACTAGAGATATGTGTGTAGTTTTAACATAATGCTTACCATTTTGACAGGTACAAATAGATGGAATAAAATTTACCTGTAAACAACAGTAACAGCAGCTATTAGACATTTTGTTAGGGTTTTGTTGGGGTTTTTTAAATGACACAATGAATTTCTCCCGAAGACAGCTTTATTATAACCACATTTAGAGCCTACAATTATGGCTTAATTGTCTTGGTTTGAGGATTTTGGAAAAGTAAGTAGGTATTAAAAAAACTGTGGCAGCAAGACTGGAACTAATGGCATGCTACCAGACAGATCAGAGAAATTTTAAAAAGCACCTCCAGAATAATGAGTTTTTTGGATAATAACAGAATTTGCCAATCACAAAACCATGGTATGATGTATTTCATAATAAGTGTATTGTAATTAATTAATTTGCATATAATACACCAGATTTTAATACAGAATAGTATTTATTCAAGCATTTGAATGTTTTGCCTAGAAATTTATACAAACTCATAGAAACTATTATGATAATAATGAACGTTATTTTAAAACAGGCTTACCTGGCTTAAGAGGAATCAGTGGACTGCATGGTTTACCAGGCACTAAGGGCTTACCAGGATCACCAGGTAAGTGAGACTCTTAGTCTGCCTGTTCATAGGCACAACATCGTGTTGGCTGCAAGTTTGATTGGTGAGATCTTTGTAATGTGACTTTCTTAACTGTGCCCTCCAAAGCCCAGTGTAGGTTCAGGCAAGCAAAGTCATACACAATGTGCTGCCCACAGATGAATCAGAACACAACTTCAAATCATAACTTCTTTCCTCTTATAAAGTACAGGCCTCAAGGCTTTTTTTTCCCCTTATGAGCCTTTTTTTTTTAAACGAGCCATTAAATAACTCATGTATTTTGTAAATCCATATGGTCTATCCATGTGTGTTAGCATGCCGATGTGTTGCTACATGCAGAAACATTTCAGCTTTCCTCTTAATTTTGAACAACTCCACAACAGGTCCAGATGGGTACGGCTCTGCAGGTTTCCCAGGTGTAGTGGGGGACAAAGGAGAAGCGGGAGAGCCAAGCAGAGTGGAAGGCAGCCGAGGACCTCCGGGCCAGAAGGGAGACAGAGGTGTTCCAGGTTTGTATTCCTGAGAATGGGATCCACTTAATATTTGTTTCAGCTATGGGTGTTGGAGATGTCACAAAATGCAGTAGAGTGTAGACAGTTGTATAGGAGAACTCCCAAAGTCAGGGAGGTCACTGTTTGGAGTTTGTGCTGCAGCTCAGCCAGCCCTTGCTGAGAAGCAGCAATGTGTATTCCCCAGTGCTGGACAGTCTGGGTCCTTCCCAATGGTAGCAGCATCTTGTAGCACCCACTGAGCTCAACAAGCTGCAAATGCCCGAGTCTACTCTCAGCCATCAGGTCTCAAAATATTTTAATCAGATTCCAGTTACACAAACACTATGACTTTTCTTTCTTTCTTTTTGTTGCAAATCTGTCAGTGCTCACCTTTCTCCTGAAAGCTTCAGTGTCCATCAGTGTGCCATTGTGCTGCTGACACCTCGGGGCTCTGTTCCCTTGCACAGTGCTTTGCTGGCACCATCACCCCTCCTGCAGTGTAACCATACATCCTTCCAGCTCTAACCCATAGAGCTGTTACAGGCTGCACTTACCTCAGTAGGGGTCACCACCTGGTTTTCTTCCATCAAGAAGCCACCAGACTGATGTTGCAAACAAATAACTAATTACGGTTTTTTGGTTTTGTTTGGTTTTTTTTTTTAATTTTTCCAACATTTTGGCTCTGAAAGGATTAAGAAATGATATAGATATAAAACTTTACTGCCTTTTCCTGCTTGGTTCAATGGCTCATTCCTATTCTTTTGTGTTACACTTTATTGTTACTAACATGCTGTGCCATCTCAAACACCATTCAGAGGTTTATTATCAAGCATTGGAAGAAACAACTAACCTCATTCAGGTAAGGTACATCATTTGTCACAATTAAATATTATTATTTTCATTAAAATTAATAAACAAAAGGGGTCTTTTGGCTTCCTGACAAATCTACTTAAAAGAATAATCTATTATTGGTGGGTCAGATTTTTGGCCATTTAACGGTTTTTTGATCTGTAGAGAACTTCTTGGATTCAAACTTTCTGTTTTAACTGACCCCCAAAAATGCTAAGTGTTTGTGAGCTCTGGAGGCACCGAAGAACAAAGCTGCTTTCTTACCTGCTGCAGTATACCTAGGATATTTTGAATACTTCCTATATTGAAATAATATGTTACCCGGCAGACACAAGATTATTAGCATTCCACACAGTAAGATGCAATTAGCTATCCAGAGAGCTTTGGCAGAGAACTAGTATTTGGTTTTTTTAATAAAAACTTCCACAACTTCCACAACATCATCTGAAATAAATGAAACAAAAATCAGTGGGAACTGTATGTTTTTTCCATTTTGAAAATCCCATTCTTTATACTTAGTCTAAAGTGAGTCCTTTTAATTGCAATTGTACATTTTTCCTTGCAGTACTGATTATTTCTTCTCTTTCTTTCAGGAGTCCCTGGACCGTTTGGTATTCCTGGGCAGGAAGGATTTCCA